AGTGATTCTCCTGCCTCAGCCTCCCGAGTAGCTGGGATTACAGGCATGCACCACCACGCCCAGCTAATTTTTGTATTTTTAGTAGAGATGGGGTTTCACCATGTTGGCCAGGAGGGCCTCGATCTCCTGACCTCGTGATCTGGCCACCTCAGCCTCCCCTCCCAAAGTGTTGGGATTACAGGCGTGAGCTGCTGTGTTCAGCCTGCACCAACTCTTACAGACAGGCCAGAGTCCTGTCTAGAAGTCGGGACACCAGGCCTGGCTGGCACTCTGTTCTCCAGACCACACTGCCCTCCGCAGCCAGGTCCCAGGACCAAGACATGGGTGGATTTTTGTTTCTGACTTGCATTCGCTCGTTTACGTGAAATGTGAATTCTTTGTCCTGATGTTACTTGTTAGCACTGACAGCGTTCCTGATTGTGGTACTTAAGCTGCTATCAATAAGCTCCAAAGCTTATCCTTGATGCTAATGATCTCGGAGTTGGAAGAGGCCCTGGCAGGTACCGAGGCCAACCTTGTCTGGTGAGTGCCCTGTGCCCTTGAGACCACCTCATGCCCTTCAAGGACAGAGACAAATTAAAAATAGAGGCTTACTTCTCCTGATTGAAAAGAAGGGAAGAGATTTTTCTCTCCTTTTTCTCTGAGCATGACTCTTTTTTCTTTTTGAGATGGAGTCTCGCTCTGTCACCCAGGCTGGAGTGCAGTGGCGCAATCTCGGTTCACCACAACCTCCACCTCCTGGATTCAAGCAATTCTCCTGCCTCAGCCTCCTGAGTAGCTGGGATTACAGGTGTGTGCCACTGTGCCTGGCTAATTTTTTTGTACTTTCAGTAGAGGCAGGGTTTCTCCATGTTGGCCAGGCTGGTCTTGAACTCCTGACCTCAGGCGATCTGCCCAGCTCGGTCTCCCAAACTGTCTCCTGGCCTCTCTGGTTTCTGAGGGAGGCCAAGAGCCTAACTTAGTCCGTCTTGCTCCAAGCTGCAAAACTACCTCCTGTCATGAAGATAGGAGTTTATTCTTCTTCTAGATACAGGCAATTAACAAACACAGATGGTAACCCCAGTGACCAGGTGGCTCTGGGGTCAGTGGTGTGTGACAAATGGCACTGTCAGGGCCTCTTCCTTAAGGACTAGTTATTGTTTATGTTGAAAACACTCATGCAGTGAGTTGTATCTCTTTGGGTCTTTAAAAGGATGAGATCCTTTCTTTGCAATCTCTTCGCCGTTGCTTCTGATGCATATCACCTTCTGGCTTAATGGCTATTCAATAACGAAACTTTTCTACCTTTGTGGAGAGGTTTTCGGGATTGGGAGCACACTTTTTTTTCCTTTTTCTTTTTTTTCTTTTCTTTCCTTTTCTTTTCTTTCTTTTTTTTTTTTTTTTTAGGTGGAGTCTCACTCAGTCCTCCAGGCTGGAGTTCAGTGGCACGATCTTGGCTCACTGCAACCTCCACCTCCCAGGTTCAAGCAATTCCCTGCCTCAGCCTCCCAAGTAGCTGAGATTACAGGCATGTGCCATCATGCTTGGCTAATTTTTGTATTTTAATAGAGATGGGGTTTCACCATCTTGGCCAGGCTGGTCTTGAACCCCTGACCTCGTGATCCACCTGCCTTGGCCTCCCAAAGTGCTGGGATTACAGGCGTGAGCCATTGTGCCTGGCCAGCACATTTTATTTTTAATTATATTTCCCCAGTAATGGCCTTACCTACATTTAATGGCAATAAATGATGGATACTTAAAATACTCTCTAGTTCTGGAAGGCATTCCCATACATTAATTAATTTGGTTTTCATAAAATCAGGAGGCATTAAAACACCACTAAATTAGAAGGCATCACTATTCCCTTTTGGTAATTTCCCGTTTAGGAAACCGAGGCGCTGAGAGGATAAATGCCACCCAGGGGACCCTGTCCAGCTGTTGGCAGAATGAGGACTGGACCGAGGGTATTTGGCTCCTAATCCAGGGCTTTCCCCAGGTTCCGCTGTGAGGCACACGGGGTTTGAAAACACAGTGGCACATGCGTGTCCACTGCCCCCCGGTCTTAGATACGCCTTTGCTGTGTTACAGAAGCACCTCTGAGGGCCTGGGCACCTCTTCTGGGAGTTTCTTGTGTCTCTCCGCCTTCCGCTCTGCTCTGGCTTCACCACGAGAAAGCGACATGCCCACGCTGCTCCTGGGGGCCTGGAGACAATGTCCCGACCCCAGGCCGCACCCTCACTTTCCATCCAACCCCACAACTGTTACCCATGGAGGGCCACAGTCTCCGAAGTGGAATGTGAGAAAGGAAAAGTCATTTGGGCTGTGATAAGAAAGCTGAGCTTCTGCAAAGGCAAATGGAAACAGAGACAAACAGAAACAAAGACGAGGGCATGTGTCTGTGTGAGTGAAGGGAGAGAGAGATGGGGAAGGGGAGCAAAACAGAGGCAGCCCGGAGAACTCTCCAGAAGGGTCCAAAGGCTGCCACATGGAGAAGTGGCACTCCCTGTCCAGTGTGAGGGTGGACCAGCCTCCTCGGGTGTGGTCATTCCAGTGGGAAGGCCAACCGTGATTCCACACTGGGAGGAATTTTCTGGCAGAGCCATCTGTCCACAGAAGGGTCCACCCCACTGGATTCATGGCCTGGTGTTCAGGAGGACGGGGTCCCGTCCTCAAGGTTGTGTGAGCACTGAGTCACCGGGATGCCGGGGGCCCATGCTCCAGTGCCTGAGTGAGCGACGGGCGAGGCTGGGAGCCTGCATTTTCTATAGGTCCCCTCCCCATGCAGGGGGTCCCCAGCCACACCCCGAGAAACAGGGTGTTACGTCACGGCCCCTGTCGGAGAGCCACCTGGATGGGCTGGATGACTCAAGGTCTCCTCCAAGTCCAAAACATTTTTCGAGTGCATGACTCTCCTCCCTAGCTCCTACTCACATTCTCCAACACAACCAGCTTTCCCTGAAAATCAACCCACCTGGCCACCCCTTGGAGATGCGGGCTTCTCCCGCCCTGCCTCTTTCTGCCGTGCACCTGCCTGGCAGCCGTTGCCATGGCTGCCTGTCGTGGGGATACGAAGAGGAGGCTGTGACCATTTTGGCTGTAGGGTAATGACAGACGTGTGATTTTGCAGTGTGACTTGTTGAGCCTCTGTGAGCTTGCACACATAGGGTCCTAGAAGTCTGACCTGAGATGAGAAAGGCCCCCTGGAGGCCACTGAGTTCAAATCGCTCCCTCTAGAGATGGAGAAAACAGGGACAGGACAGCTGCCGGCCCAGGCGCCAGCACTCAAGACAGGAGGTGTAGCACACGCCCAGGGAGAGGCTGCATCCCAGTATGGGAAGCACTTCCTTGGGTCCTGCGGTGTGCATGTGAGAGTGGGCAGCTGTGTGTGTGCAAGTACATGAGTGTGAATGTGCGTGATCGTGAGTACGAGCTTGTGTGTGGGTGTGCAGATTCGAGAGTGAATGTGAGCGTGTGCGAGTGTGAGGGCGAGAATGTGTGTGTGTGTGAATGCCCATATGCTTATGGGTGTGACTGTGTGCACATGTGTTCGTGTGGGCATGCGTGAATGAGCATGCATGAGTGAGCGATGTGGCATATGAGTTTGTGTTTGTAAGTGTAAGTGCGAACGTGTGTCAGTATGTGTGTGGACTTGTGTGAGTGTGTCTGTGTCGGTACACATGTGAGTGTGGATGTGTCTGTGTTTATGCACAGTGTGAGTGCATGTATGTCAGTGTGAGAGGTTGTGAATGCCTGGGCATGTGTGCCCTGAAAGCCAGCACGGCACACCAGTGGCCTCCATTGGCTCTCCAGCCCTTGGATGCTGTGTGGGGGATGCTGGCCTTTCCGTACAGAGGCCCTGAGCGAATTTGGGGCTCTCTGCTGGATGGACTGTGGAAAACACACCCCGGCAGCGTCAGACCTCTAGTGCTCGAGAATTCTCTCCCTGTTGGGTTACAGTATGGGATTGTTTTTCTCCTCAGAGTGTTTACATGGACAGTGCAAACGTGCAATATCCCTCTGGCCATCATGCAGAAAAATATGCATAAAGGATAACTGCAGAAAAATTCCTTCTGTGGACAAAACACAGACAGAAACACACACACACACACACACACACACACACACACGGCAGAGGTATCTTTCTTTGTGCCTCAATGAAAGGGAAGTTGAAGGAGAGACTAAGCTAGAAACAGACTGTTAATTTTGAGACTTTTTTCTTTAATCATGTAATATAAAAAGACAGCATGTTACAATGACATTTTATGGACGATTGTAAATTATTATGAAGTCCTCAATTGGTAAAATGTCTTGACTTTTTTCCCCTGTCTTGGGGTCTGTGGTTAAATCATGACAGATCAGCAGTGGAGTGGAGTGTGAAGAACTGCGGCTTGAGGGTTGGACAAGTCTGGGTTTAATCTCTTGTTCACTGGCTGTGTGGCCTTTCTGAACCTGTTTTCTCACCTATTTAATAGGGACAAATGACCTATTTCATAGAGTAATCGTGAAGATGAGAGACAATTGTGCACCAGACAAATTGGGTTTTAACCTGTAACATTATCCCCGATTTACCTTGATATTTTATAGAGCCATTCATACATTATAGTAGCAAACATTGAGATGGTATATACAATATAATACACATTCGTCTTGCATTTTAAAGTGTTCAGATTTACTTAAATCATAATACTTTTAATTTATTCTTTTAGTGTTAATCTAATTTCACTTTTTTGAGTGTTATACAATAGCTTTAACATTTATTCTTTTCCTATGAAATCTTTTTTTTTTTTTTTTTTGAGACGGAGCTCTGTTGCCCAGGCTGGAGTGCAGTAGCGCCATCTGGGCTCACTGCAAGCTCCGCCTCCCGGGTTCACGCCATTCTCCTGCCTCAGCTTCCTGAGTAGCTGGGACTACAGGCGCCCGCCACCACGCCCGGCTAGTTTTTGTATTTTAGGTAGAGACGGGGTTTCACCGTATTAGCCAGGATGGTCTCAATCTCCTGACCTCGTGATCCACCCACCTCGGCCTCCCAAAGTGCTGGGATTACAGGCAAGAGCCACCGTACCCAGCTGAAAACTTTTTGTAATGAGCCAATTCTGCGTGAAACTTTTGGTTTTCTATAAAAGCCGCTGTGTTCCAAGGACACCCGTGGTACGCAGCTCCTTTGCTGTGTGATCATTTCTGGCCTCCTTTTTGTATTCTTGTCATAGCATCTGACTTTTAGTCATTAGCCAAGCAAATGCAGCAGTTCATCATCTCAGAGATTAATCTACGGAGAATAAAAGAGGTAGCGTCCTTGGTGCGGGAGTCAGGCGAGAAGGTCCCTTCTGGAGGAATTGTTTTGTATCTAGAACACCAAGGAATTATGCTCCTGAAACATAGAGCCAGGATGAATCTTTGTTAACTCATCAGAATGTTTTCTCAGTAAAATCCACAAGATCTTCTTCATCCAGTGTGAAAAACTGGGCGGCTGAGGCAGGAGAATGGCGTTAACCCAGGAGGCCGCGGAGCTTGCAGTGAGCAGAGATTGCGCCACTGCACTCCAGTCTGGGTGACAGAGCCAGATTCCATCTCAAAAAAAAAGAAAACTTGGGCTTCAGCAGTCAACACCAAGCAATAAGAGGCAATCAACAGTGTAGTATGAAAACATCATGAGCTTGAAAGAACTTAACATGAAATTTAGAAATCTATGTCACATATACCATGATGGTTACTGAAATAAAACATCAATCACCTGTATTCTTATCACTCCTCAAAATGTTTTCTTCCCGTCCCATGGCCCTTTCTGGAGTTTTCTCCATGCTTATATAACTGTACAGAGTTGTCACTTTCATGGAGATGAAATTGCGTGCGTTGCTGTTTTGGCTTCACATTGTTGAGTATTTTTTTATGCTACTAAAACTTCATGGTGAGCATTTCAACGCCCGTGTAATGCTGCATCCAGATGCTCTGTAATAATTACACTCCCGTTCTCCTGTGGCTGTTCAATTACGTAATTTTCCACTTGAAGTCATAATAAGTAATGCACATCCCCGTGACCACAGCTTCGTGCCTCAGCCCAAGCTCCAGGAGCAGAGGACTGGGTCAAAGCACCTGGACGTTTTTGTGACTTTTGAACTGCATTGTGGAACCGTGTGAAGGACACTTTTCTCAACGTGATGTACCACTTTGATTTGACGCTGTTTTCTCCTGCCAGTTCAGAATGATAGGGTAAGAGAATACTCTGTGTTGATGGAGAGACTCAGATTTGGGTCTCAAATGTGTTTTCTGCGTAACAACGAGATGGGATCCAGTGATGCGGTCTGGGCTGTTGGGTACTCACTTTTCCTAAAAGATGCCATCTGCTTGCAGCAGAATAGGCTGTGACACGCAGGAGCCCCCAGGGAAACGGCCACGGCAGTGGTGGGTGTTAATGAGCAGGCATAAGGGGCTGCTCCCAGCGGTGCTTCCTCTGAAGCCATTGCCACCTGCAGCAGCACAGGAGACAGAAAGGCCCTTTCTCCAGGTCCAGGCGGCTCAGGCCCCTATGTGCCCTGGTGTAGGAGAGACCCAGGCTTCTTGGTAGAGGCCCAGAGCCCTGCGCTGCCACCATTGCTGGATGATGCTCAGGACCTCGGGGCTGGCCATGCTGGCTCTGGTCTGTGCTGTGGGCTCAAGCCAGGCCAGCGGCTTCACAGGTGAGGGGTCTGGGCTTGGCATGGGCAGTTCTTGAGGAGGGAGGCTTCCTGGCATGGATCTCATGAGGACAGCCCCCTGCTGAGACCTAGGTGGGCAAGGGTGCCTCTGCTTGAAGAGGCGACATCTGTTCCTTGGTGGACGAGCTTTTCCGTAGGCGCACATGGTAGCAGCTGTGGAGGTGGGGCAGGCGTGCCAGGTAGGGTTTTGGGAAGAGGACTCCCTAGTGGGAACCTGTTACTGAATCACAGGGGCGTTCGTGGGGGTAAAATGCAGATTCTTAGCCAGCAGGTCTGGGGTGCAAGGCCTGGAACTCTGCATGTCTGTGGGTGATGCAGACGCTGTGGGGTCCTCAGATCCCACTGAGAACAGTGAGCTCCTACAAATGCAGAAGAAAGGTCTCCTGAACCTTGGTGCATTTAAGTCCTCGCTTAGAGATAAAAAAAAAAAAAGGAGACCTAGTCTGGGCAACATCATGAGACCCCATGTCTACCAAAAAAAAAAAAAAAAAAGCCAGGCATGGTGGTGCACACTTGTGGTCCCAGCTACACAGGAGGCCGGGATGGGAGGATCGCTTAAGCTTGGGAGGTGGATCCTGCAGTAAGCTGAGACTGCTCCACTGCACTCCAGCCTGGGCAGCAGAGCAAAATCCCCCTGATAAACAAAGAAAAGCCACAATACAAAAACAAAAAAGGAAGGGAGACCCAGAATGGATCAGGGACTCACCCAGGCCACACAGCTCACAGGGCAGAGTCACCACAGGAGCCAGCGGCTGCACCAGGGCTCTGTCTGGAGTCTTCAGGCATGCGGAGAGCAGAGCAGCTGCTAAAAAACACGTGGGGGTTCTGAAACCCCAGAATCCAGGGAAATGGGACTGCAGAATTTTAAAATCGTTTTCCTCTTAAAATCTGTCTTATTCAGTTACAATTTAAAGGAATCCATTCTGTTTCTAAAATCCACTATGTTTTTGTACTACCTTAAAGTTTTCCACCCAGAAGCAGGATTTTGCTTTGTGATTTGTGAAATGGATATTCCCATTGGAACAGGTAATGCGTAGACCCCACAGTTCAGATACATAATGGGTGCGAATCCTGGGAAGCTGGAGAAGGTCTTAGGAGGTGTTTCCAGAACCCCTCATTGTAGATGAGGACACGGGGCAGAACCTCAGCAACCCCACATGTGCCCGCCCCGAATCTTCCCCGGGTGCCAGCACTGCCTTCACGGGCATGGCCCCACTTCAGCCTTCTGCTGCCTCAGGGCATGGCTGTTATTTCACAGATGACAAGAGGGGGGCACTGGGAGGGCATGACACAGGTGCAATCACGCAGCAGGGTGTGAGCACAGGTCCATCTGACCCCAGGAGTCTTGTCGGCCCCAGAGCGTTAGGCTTTCCCACATCGGAGACCGGAATCCAAGACCCCGCGCTCCTGCTCTGATGGCCCTTGCAGGGCTTTGCAGAATGGCAGAATCTGCTAAACGCTTGCTTCTCTGGGCTCTGCCAAGAAGCCAGGCTTGGGATGGCACATGGCCTCAGATAAAATGTGAAAAACAAAACAGGACAAACAACTCCGGGGTTCCACAGGAGACAAGTGTGTGTGTGTGTGTGTGTGAGTGTGTGTGAGAGTGTGTGTGTGAGTGTGTGTGAGTGTGTGTGAGTGTGTGTGTGAGTGTGTGTGTGAGAGAGTGTGTGTGGTGTGTGTGTGTGTGCGCGCACGCGCACATGCAGGTGTGTGTGTGTGTGCAGGAGGGCTCTGCTGCGGACCAGCTGAGTCCATGTAATGATCACATGGGGCCCTGGCAGCTCTCTAGAGACCAGGAGCTGCAAGTGTCCTTAATGTGGTTGGCATCTCTGCTCAGGTTACGATGAAAAACACAAGCTAGATCCACCCTGCTAAATTCTTGGTGCAGGAAGTCCTTGGCCTTTGCCTTGCTCAGCGTGGTCACTGAGTAGGTGAGCCCGTTCCTTCTGGCCACATTCCACCGTTCCTCATGCAAGTCACCTCTAGGTTCTCAGCCAAGCTGCCCTGGCCCAGGGAGCTGATTTGTCCTGTTCCACCCTGTACCACAAGGACCTCCCGTTCCTTTGCAGAGCTCACGGTAACTACCCCTCCGGTGATGGCAAACAGCAGGTGGTCCCTATCCCTAGACGCCCTGCTGAGCCCGCAGGGTGATTTGGGGTTCAACCCCCAGAGGAGGTTGCGGCTCCAGTCCCTGTTGCTTGTGGAGTGGGGTCGCTCTGTGCAAGCGTGTGGTCCAGTACCTGTGTTCCACCCAGAGCAAAGCTGCAGCCTCTTCCCTCACCTGGTTTGTGGGCCAGCTCTGCCCTGTTTCTTCCTGGGGTGAGTAACAAGCCCCCGAGTCCCGATTTCTGCACACTTAGAGGTTGCTGTGAGGTTCAAGGAGGGAATCTTCAGAGATGCTGCCCCAGTGGAGGGAATAAGGACAGCATTGGTTTTGTGATCATTTCTGCTCCCATCTCTGTGTTCCTCCCCAGAAATCAATCCAGCTACTCATTGAGGGAAATAAACTGTAATACTGAGCCCCCGCCTCTTGGCTGTACAGTCTAGTAAAGCTTAGAGCTCAGGGGTTGAGTGTCCGAAATGCAAGCCCTGTATGTCAAATCCTGCATTCATTAGGCACTGAGAGTCCATATACTCAGAGTCCCCTGCCAGGTGCCACAGGGGAGCTGGAGAGGACCCTTCACCATCCCTGTGTTCACTGGCTAGGGCTGCTGGAACAAAGAAACAGCCTGGGCGGCTGAAACAGCGGAAATGGATTCAGTCACAGTTCTGGAGGTCGGAAGCCTAAGATGAAATTGCGGGCAGGGCTGGCTCCTCCCAAGCCCCTGCAGGAGTCTCTGCTCCGGGCCTCCAGCTTCTGGGGCAATCTTTGGTGTTCCTTGACAGTAGAAGCACCGTCCCAGTCTCTACCTTCTTCTCCCTGTGTGCCTGTCTGTCTCCACATTTCCCTTTAGTATAAGGGCCAGTCATATTGCATTAGGGCCCAGCCTAATATCTCACTTTAACTTGATAACCTCCAGAAGACATTACTACAGATAAGGTCACATTCTGAGTTACTGGGGTTTAGGACTTTAACATACGAATTTTTAGAGGAACACAATCGATTCAAATTAGGCAATAGGGTTCTCCCACGGAGATGGGAAGCCCAGGCACACGCCAGGGGATGTCCGCGACAAAGAGTCTCGTGGTGAATGCCATGGGGCCAGGGGTCTCGAGAACGGAGTAATCACGTTGATGGAGGGGTGATGGGCCTTGTGTACAGGAACCAGGCTCTGGTGAGAGATGCGTGGGGCCCGATATGGTAAATCTGATGCTTGTCCTGCAGCGGGGGTGACTGTGCCTCCTCCTGATCACAATGGTAAAGGCAGAACAGTTGAACTGGTCTTTTTTTGAGACGGAGTCTCGCTCTGTCGCCCAGGCTGGAGTGCAGTGACATGATCTAGGCTCACTGCAACCTCCACCTCCTGGGTTCAAGCAATTCTTCTGCCTCAACCTCCCAAGTAGCTGGGATTACAGGTGCGCCCCACCACACCTGGCTAATTTTTTTTTTCTTTTTTTTTTTTTGAGAGGGAGTCTCCCTTTGTCACCCAGGGTGGAGTGCAGTGGCACAATCTCGTCTCACTGCAACCTTAAACTCCCAGGTTCACGCCATTCTTCTGCCTCAGCCTCCCGAGAAGCTGGGACTACAGCTGCCCGCCACCATGCCCAGCTAATTTTTCGTATTTTTAGTAGAGACGGGGTTTCACCGTGTTAGTCAGGATGGTCTCGATCTCCTGACCTCTTGATCTGCCCGCCTTCGCCTCCCAAAGTGCTAGGATTACAGGCATGAGCCACCGCTCCCAGCCCACACCCAGCTAATTTTTTAAAAATATATTTGGTAGAGATGGGGTTTCACCATGTTGGCCAGGCTGGTCTCGAACTCCTGACCTCAGGCGACCCGCCCACTTCAGCCTCCCAAAGTGCCGGGATTATAGGCGTGAGCCACCACACCTGGCCTGAGCTGGTCTTTTATCATCAACAAACTTCTCACACGTGCTTTAAGTACCTGCTTACTTATCTTCCAGCTCACTGAAAAGAAAGCTGTCTTTGTCATGTCCTGGCTGCAGTATCCTTCAGTTTCCACTGTGGCGGGAACTGCTGCTCCTTCACTTTGCATGTGGCAACCTTGAGGCTCAGGGGGACGAAGAGATAGACGTGCATGAGATTCTACAGCCTGTGGAATGAGCCCACACGGAGCAGAACAAAGGGACATGATCTCTAAGTGTTGATTCCAGTGCTGTGCTCTTTCCTTCGTATATTGGCTGTGAGACCCCTGTGCTTCAGGAAGCATGTGTGGGGCCCAGGTGGCACCTCCTCCTCGGTCACAGCGGCTTTCTTAGCAGGCCAGGCTATGTCGATGCTTTATTCTTCTGTGCTCACTCATGCAGCAGCCTTCCTGGTGCACTGGCAGGCAGAGGCCGGTGGAGAGGGCTGGTGGGCAGCTTCTGAGAGGCCTGCCCGAGTGCAGGAGGTGTGGTCTCGCTTGCTGTTGCAGAGGGACGCCTTGCGGATAACCGCTCGCGTGGATCTGATCCTGGTGTTCTCAGTCGCCTCCTTGCTTGCCTCTTTTAGAAAAAGGCCTCTCCCTGTTGGGCTACCAGCTGTGCAGCTACCGCGTGACCCACACTGTGCGGAAGGTGGAGGCTGTGCAGACGTCCTACATGACCTATGCGTCCTGTGGTGGCTGGATCCCCTGGAGGCGGTGCCCCAAGACTGTTTACCGGACCCAGTACCTGGTTGTGGAGGTTCCTGAGTCCAGGAACGTGACCGACTGCTGTGAGGGCTACGAGCAGCTCGGCCTCTACTGTGTCTTGCGTGAGTCCAGGGCTGCCGGGCTGGGGCGGGGCCACCCTTGCCGTCGAGACTCCTGATGGGACAGTTACCGTTGGCACCCATTGGCCCGGAACTTGCTAGATCTTCCAGGAGCACGGTTCCCAGCCTTGACCAGGCAGCGGGGTCATCGGCAGGGCTTGTCCCTGGCCCCACTCTCAGGTTTCTGAGTCCGTGGGTGGGGGTGAAGTACAAGAATTTGCCCTCCTGACAAGTTCCTGGGTGACACTGAGGCTGCTGGCCCAGGAACCCCACTTTGAGAACCTCTGTTGTTCTCAGAGGGCCCCAAGTCCTCCCACTTCTCAGAGCAGTTTGAAAGCTGCTGTCCTGTAGGACGCTTGGGGTCAGTTACCAGGGTGACCAGTGCGGTTAGGCCAGGCCAGGGTCTGAGCCGTTGGAGGGGGCGGGGACTCAGGGCTCAGCCTACTGACACGCAGGTGATCTCTTTCAGGGGAGGGGTGTGTGTGTGTGTGTGTGTGTGTGTGTGTGTTTAGTGGTTGCTAATTTTGAGTCAATACCAGATCTGCAATGAGTTTCTGTATAGTCAGAAGGTCCTGCCTCACACCCCCACTGTGGAAAGACATGGGGGTGTGTGGCTCCAGCTTGGTGTGGGCCAGGGTCACTGAGACACAAGGGCTGTGGCCTCCAGAGTGCAGAAGCCACCAACTCCTAAGTGCCCCAAGGGGGATCCTACAGGACCCATCCTTGTGACCTGAGACCAGGACACCAGCAGAATGGAGCACGGACTCCCCAAACCAGGGTGCCTGCCTCCTCCAGAAACCAAGGGCCCCAGGTGGCAGAGTCTGGGGTCCGCGTAGACCTGCATGCTGGGCCATCCTGAGTGGGCCCTCCCTCAACCCCCAGTGCGATTTCACAGATGACAGGGAGAGTTGCCGCATTTCTGCTGCCCCGTTCAGAGGGCCAGGCACAGACAGGGCCCAATGGTTTCGGTTGTTCTGTTAACAGGCACGCTCCTCTTTCAGGAGTGTTAAAACAATACCACCATGACCAGTACCTCCATCACCAATAGAAACCCGGCGAGGCCAGCTGACCCCAGAGCAATGGCCCCTCTGTACTCCCATTGCTTCCCTAGAGGGCCACCGGCAGGACAAGGCTATGCCTTGGCCATGCTGTTCAGGTGCTGGTCTAAGGAGACCCTTCCTGTCCTGATGCCTGACCCCATTTCCACTTTCCCTTTCTCCGACGGCCACACACACAGAGGGGCCTGCTGAGCCACAGTTGCTGCTGTCCCTGCCCTGCAAGCAGCCTCCACTCCTAGTGGATGGCGGGGGCCATTAGGACACAGGTGCTGATGCCACGGCACCTTGGTTTAGAGCATGTGGACTTTGCAGCCAGGACATGCCCTGTCCTGTCTTACCTGTGGAGGCCACACCTCTTCCTACCTGTTGGCATTGTCAGGACTAGTGAGGGGAGGAGGCTCTGGGGGAGGCCGATCAGCAGCCCCTTCCTGCCCCCTGCTCTGCAGGGCCACACCAGCCCCACCCATGCCCACCAGCACCTTCTGTAAGAGACCCTGGCCTGCTGCAACAAACAAGTTAATTCCCTCCCAGAAGACAGGGAGGCCCCTCCCCACCACCTGCCCTTCATCCTCCTCCACAGAACAGCCTCCAGGAACTGCCTCTTGTGGGAATCAGCCGCACTGTTAGAGTGTTAGCACCTTTAATTAGGGGCTCACCCGGGCGATGCTTTTGCAGTCAGGGAGTCCCGTGGGTGAGAGTGGGCTGCCGTGGGGAGCTGCAGGGAGTGGAGGGCAAGGCCACAGGGAGGGACGTGGGGCATGAGGGGAAGTGAACTCACTCTGCGGGCCCTGAGCCCCTCAGTACATGGCCCCTCAGGTTCTAGAAGGCTCACTCTGGCACAGCGAAGAGGGGGCAGACCTAGAAGGAGGAAGGAGGAGAAGACGGAGGGGAACAGGCATTGCCTGAGTGCATTCTTTCTAAGAGGCCAGGGCAGGAGACCCTCCAATCCCTCAGGCGCCAAAGGAATAGGCATCCCTGGCTCTGCAGGTGGAGAGCCAGGCTAGGGGAGGCCCGCGCCTCCACCACCATGGCACAGCTCTGGGAAGCCTGACTCGGGACATGGACCTGGGGCTCTCTGACCCCCAGGCAGATTTTTGGGGGTTTATCAAGCTGCACTTTAGTGTAGAGGAGTTTGTGGCATTTGAATGCTGTGGCTGTGGTGATTGTGGGAGAAGGAACGTTTCAGGGCACTGAGGACACGGAGTTCTTTCTCAGAAAGGTCCCTACCTGTGCCGGGGCCTGGTGAAGGGCATAGCCCACGAGGCTTCTGCAGCTCCTGCTGCTCAAGGACCTGTATCCCGTGGGCCTCCACCTCTTCCCAGCCCCAAGCTCAGAGACATCACGCTGGTAGTGTGAAGGTGCCTGTGGTGGGCAGATTTACACCCTGGATTTTGGCAGCACAACCTTCTCTATGCTTGCACTGTTCTTTTCATCCAAGCTGCTTTTTCTGGGATGCCGCACGGCAGGTTGACCCCTTGGAGCTGGACGTGAGATGGTCTCAGTAAGTGACCTGTTGAGCACTGCAACTCTGATTTATACAGAATGAAGCAGGCCTGAAGCTGGACCTGGCAGATGTTGGAGGCACCTGGAAATACTGGGAGGTGTGAAGGGCAGGAGATGCTCCTTCCTCTGCAGCGGTGCCTCCAGGTCACCTGAGTGTGGGTGACTCACACCTCAGCTGCCCGGGGGTCTGCGCATCGGAGTCCTATCCCCCAGGCAGTGGCAAAATGCTAGACATGTTTCCTCCTTTCTCCTCCTGCTCAATCATGACTTACGCAAAAAAGCGAAGGGAAGCATCAACACACACGTGATATGATTTTCAGTGACTTTTTCAACTTTTTCATTCCAGCATTTGGAACGCAGTGACACCTGGTGCATTAAGTTTTTAAAAATATAATTACAGAAATGAATACATGAGCCATGCAGAAAATTTGGAAACACAGAAAACAGGAGGAGGAAATGATCCCAAGCCTGCTGCTCACGAATAACCACCTTTCACATGTTCTTTATCCAGGGCAGACATTTCACAAGAGGATGGCCACTGTGTCCAAGACGTTTGTAGCATGATTTTACCACTCAGCAATGTATCCACAGCAGCTTTCATGTCCATACACATGACTCCACTGCATGCTTTTACGGCCACATGGCATTACCTCATATGCACATCAGCATTCACTGAGCAAGTTCTTGCCACTTCACATTCAGTTGTTTCTAATTACTCATTAGCATACGTAATGCTGTGATGAACAGTATACAGTACAAACGCGGCTGTGCACAAGTTGGATTATGTGCTCAGGATGAATTCTGAGAAATGGAACCCAGCATCTTAGCCGTGCTCCCTAACTCCAGTGACACCCCAATTCTGTACAGGATCAACCTCCTGGCAAACTCAGCCTTGTTAGGCAAATCCAGGACCCCACGGGACGAGGAGACTCCACAAAACTTCTTGTCCTCGCAGGCTGATGACTAGGGGCCCTTTGGTGAGAACCTCCTGTCCTGACCAGGCGAAGAGGCGCTGAGGAAGGAGGAGGGAGACAGGAGCGACTCCTCCCCAGCTCATCCAGTCCTCAGCCCTGGGAGCCTTGGGTTTTACTGCTCCAACAGAAAGCTCCCCTGTTGCCTCACTGGACCGTGACTAACAGTGTTGCCAGGAGCTGAGCAGTTCTTTTATTGTTCGCATTAAGTTAGGGAAGAAGGAGATTTTTGACTTTCTACCAAGCTGGACTTGTTCAGCTTTCTCAGGGCACTCAGTCAGCTGGCCAGCTCCAAGGGATGGAGGGGCTTCCCGGCAGTGCCCAGTTAAGATGCAAACCTTTCACTCAAAAACACGCCTCTGGTGATTAGGCAACTATTTTTGGAAGCCAATTTTGGGGGGGTTACTTCTATTTAAATAGCCTTTTAGTTTAGAATAGTTTTAGATTTGCAGGGACGTCTTTATCTTTCTGCAAAGATAATGCAGAAAGGTCCTGTACCCCCCAACCCAGCTTCCCCTAACGTTAGCATCTTACAGCTCTCGGGACAACTTGTCCTAAGGAACCGGCGCTGGGCATTGCCAAGAAACTCCATACTTTATTTGGATTTCCCTGCTTTCCCCAGAATGTCTTTTTCTGTCCCAGGAGCCCACCTTCCATTTAGTCCACACATCTGCTTAACCCTTAGGCCTTTGCTTTTTGCACTGGGAGACAAAGCAGAGACCTTTAGCTGCTCAGCAAGCCTCCACCAGGCTCCTGACATTGCCCTCCTCGAGCTGCACCCAACGTTCATTTTTCACGCACGGCCATTGGTAGAGCTGCCTGGATGATGAGGAGAAGACTGAGTCAGGGACAACGCAAGAAAGAGAGCGTGGCTGAGAGGAATGCCCACAGCGAGGCCGGGCGCCGGCAAACAGGGCTGTGTGAGAAGAGCGGGGATGCAGTCTGTCCAAATCTTCTGCGACTCTGGCTCCCCCTGCTCTGGCCAGCTGAGCAGTGTCCTTGGTGATGCGGTCCCAACAGAAACCAGGGCCGCCACCTTCTTTCTTGGTTGCAGAGTGCCCTGCAGAGACCCTGGGGGACCCAAGAGGCCGGTCCCTGGGATTGCAGCCTGTTGAGGCTGCCCTTCCACTTGGCCAATCCCACAAGTTTTCCCCACCCTCGCGGGGGTGAGTCTCAGACCCAGTTACCAGCTGGCCTCGTCTAGTCTTCTGGGCTCTGAGAGGTCTCAGGCTGTGCTTCTAAACATCCCCGGGCCATAGACACACAAAGCTTGCCATGCATCTGGGCATGAACTGGACAGCTCTGAGTAAAGCCCCAGGGGGAGCACGGCACTCACCATCAGGATGGCTGACTATGGCGGCCACAGAGCGGGGCAAGCCTTCTCTGGGGCCCTGAACTGGGTCCCTCCTCCCTGTGTGTCCTCCTCATGGCTGCCCTCTGCCTCGTGGAGCTCCCATCTTCTCAGCTTCCTTCCGTCCTGGGAGATGGGGTCGTCTCCTGCCCTGGGCCCACCTCTGCTGTCTTGGCAAAGGCACACTGCAGGCTCTGCAGCATCGGGCACAGGCTCCGCTGTCTCCTGTCCCCTGGGGTTCGGTTTCTTCTCCTTGCCCTCCTCTTGTGCTTCTTGGAGCCCCGAGCGTCAGCCCCCAGACTCCTGACAGCTTCCCTTTGGGTGGATTCTCAGACTCCTGCAGTGCTTTCTGAGAGCTCTACAAGCCCCTTTTCTGGAAAGCCCACCGTGGCCTCCCTCTGCAGCCCTGACTGAGGTCTGGTCCCCAGGACCAGTGTACCTCCCATGGGGACCCCACCGGGCTGGCCTCTTGCCCTCCTCATCTTTGCCTCCTGCAGAGGCTCGCCGTGTTTCTGTGTCTGGAGCTGCATCTGAGCTGCACTCACACTGTGAGGGGCTGGGGAGCTGTGCAGCCAACAGCCGGTGGGCTGGCCTCAGTGGCCAACTCCAGTGCCACTCTGCCATGCGTCTCCACGTGGGCAAACAGTGAATGTGTCCAGCTTCACATTTGTACTGCCATACCTGGTCTATCCCAGGCCGTTCTTCCCACAGCTTTCCCCAGCTCAGGAATGGAGCCCCAGGGATGCCAGCCCCGAAGCCTGGGAGCCTTCCTGAAGCTTATTCTTCTCTTACACTCCATCCTGTCTGGCAGCACATCCTGTGGACGCCCCCACCTGATCTCCCTAGGGTCCCATGCTGCACTCGTCTGCACTGTCACCTGGGCCAGCCCCCACCACACCCCATACCAGGCCTGTATCTCACCTCATGGGCGCCAGGGCTGATGTCTGCAGGGCTGCTCCCAGCTCCCCTCTGCCCAGCCCAGGCACTAGCCCCTCTCCAGAGTGGCCTTCCCAGACCTCCATCCCCCACACTGCTTCATCCCCCGAGGCTCTCACCCCGTCTGAATGTCTGTAGATCACCTTGCACTGTTGTTCCCCCACTGGAATATAAGTTCCCTGAAGGCTGGGCCCTGGGAACCCGGGATTGTGCCTGGCACATAGTAGGTGCTCAACAAATAGTGAATGAATGAATGAATGAATGAATGAGCTATCAGGACTGGAAGCAGCAAGGGGCCCTCTAGAGGGTGGTGGAGCCTCTTGGACCTGGACTCCTGAGGCCTGGAGGAAACAGAGACACCTAGGACCTCAACTGAAGCTGCCCTGGCAGGACAGATGGGCAGAGGATATGAAAGCCAAAGCCAGCGGCCCTCCAATGGGGTGGGTGTCTGCCCAGGCATGGGGATGGACCCTGAACAGGCCACAGACGCACAGGCAGACTTCAGCACCAGGAAGCACCGGCATGAGGCCCCTGTGAAGCAAATCAGTTCGTCTTTTATCACCAGCATCATTAACTGTAGCATTTTCTCCCAGCTCTGAATCAGTCCAGGGAGTTCACATCAAGACCCGGGGTCTGCCCCGCAGAAGGGCCTGAACCATCCACCTCCCCCTGCAGCTTGGACACCGACTGTCCTGGACTTCAGAAGTGCTGCCCCTGGTCAGGGGGCCGCTGCTGCATGGCCCCTGCACCCCAAGGTAGGCTGCTGCAGGCCGTGCTCACGGATAGGCAGCAAGGGAGGGTCTCGGTGAGGCTGATCTGTGTGAAGGTGCGGGGAGGAGTATGTTTCTAGGAGCAGCGACCGATTTCACCAGGAGCCCCCACTGTGTGCCCAGGCAGCGCCTGCTCTTAGATAATTTCTTAGTCAAAATCTGGCCTCTGAACTCTCGGGGGAGAAAAGCTCACGGCACTCTCGGGGGCCCTGAAATGGGAAGACACTTCTGGTGGAGCAGAGACCTGGATTTCCCAGTTTGCCTGGAGAGGCCAGGAACTCTAGGCAGATTTGTCACAGGTGCGGAGCTGGCTGTGCCTGCAGTGCCACAGGGGCCCAATGAGCGCTACAGCGCCATAGGCAGACCCTGCCGCCTCAAATGCGCGCCTGCCGGTCTGGAAAGTTCTGTTTTGATTGGGGTCTGCATCCAGGAGAATGGGACGGCCTATATACATATATTATATATACACACACACACACACACACATAATTTAATATTTATACATATTATGTAGTATGTATATATACATATTAAATAATATTAAAATAATGTTACATATATACATATTAAATATTAAAATAATATTAATATTAAATAATATTTTAAAATATTAAATAATATGTATATATACATACATACAGTATAAGGGAATTATACATGCATACATACATATATAAGGTATACATAAATATATACATACATATATAAGGTATATATACATACATACAGTATAAGGTAATTTTCTATATCAACATACTACGACAGTATAATGAGGCTGATAGGTTCTATTTACCTCCTAAGCAGATCTCTTCAAGGCAAGGCCCGCTGCTGTGGGTCCCAGGCCCAGCTCACCTCTGAGCAGGGATCAATGGTCTTCAGGGACATTAGGATGGAGAGGAGCGAGGGGCAGATAGTGGGGACATCCCCCCGTCTCCTGTGGTAGATGTCTTTTTGCAGGGAGGTAAATGCAGAGCAGGGCCTCTCATGGTCTCTGGTTCCCTCTCCGGCCCCCTCTCCCACCCCAGCGGCTCTTGTGACTTCAACCTGTCCTGGGTCCGTAATCATCAGTGTTTGCCCTCGTGCAGCTCCAGAGAGGGGCCCCGTGGGCTCCTGGTACAACGTCACCATACTGGTGAAAATGGACTTCAAGGAACTCCAGCAAGTGGACCCCAGGCTCCTGAACCACATGCGCCTTCTGCATTCCTTGGTAGGTGAGAAAGACAGGGGCTCCCTGCACGCTCCTTTCAGCAGCTGCTCAGGCAGACCCGGGTGTGGGGCCGTGGACGGGACCTGGCGGTGGGGAGGGTGATGTTCCACAAGTGGCCCCAAATGACTGACTGTGAACCAAATTCTAATTCTTAAACAAATCACCTTCAAAGAGGTATGATTTACATGCAACAACATGCACACAACTGAAGCGTGTAGTTGGCTGAGTTGTGATGTGTGTATCCTCGTAGGCCCACCTGTTGTGGTGGAGAACGCGGATCCCTAAGCTTGCAGGCATCTGGAGTCCCAGCAAAGACAGCCTAAGCCCCAAGCTCTTCCCTCACCACCCTCACTCCCAACGTTCTCAAGTTCCGGCTTCTGCTTCATGGAAGCCGGCACCATCCTGGGAGTGCGGAGATGGGAACCGTAGCCTGGGGCTGGCGAGCACCCTGGGGTCCCATGGTTAGCAGCGCCCCTGGCCTCTCCACACAAGTCAGAAGCACACCCCAGGGTGACATGCAAAACTGTCTCCAGATGTCACCCACTGTCCCCTGGGGATAAAAACAAACACCCTTGCTGACCCCGGCTGATGACACAGCTCACACTTTCTGGCCCATCAGCAGTGATTGCCAACCAGGATGTCTTCTCCAGCTCAGGCCACCATCAGTCTCGGGAATCCCAGCGTGGACAGGGCACTGCGTGCTCCCAAGGCGGCCCTCCCTAGGGGATGGTCTGACTTCAGGGCCGGCTGCTGACAGGGGCCTGTGCTCAGAGGGTTCAGCTTGATCTAAAGTGCTGCCGTTGCCTCTGGAAATGCCGAACACTTTTCAGACAAAGGGCCCCGCATTTTCCTTCGGCATCTGTGTAGCTCTTCTGTGCTTCAGATCTTTTGTGTGTCCCACGTGTGCTTGGGTGTCTTGGTGTTAGACCCAGGGTTGGGGCACTCCTTGGCCTTTAGACTAAGCTGGCTGGGAGCCCAGATCAGATGGTGCACACCTCCCGTTGTTCTGGGCTGCTGGCCAGTGAGCTGCTAGACAGGTAGTCTGCAGCCTCGGTCTTCACAGCCCGGGCTAGGAGTGATTCCTGTCTCCTCTTAGCTTGTTGAGGGGCTGTCCAATTGGCCAGTAAGAAGCTAGCTCTGAAGCCACACTGCCTGGCCCAAGTGTTGCCACTCATCAGCTGTGTGACCTTGGGCAAGTCACTTAACCTCTCTGTGCCTGAGAGACCTCCTCCATTAAATATAAATAACCGGCCAGGAGTGGTGGCTCATGCCTGTAATCCCAGCACTTTGGGAGGCCGAGGAGGGCGGATCACTTGAGGTCAGGAGTTCAAGACCAGCCTGGCCAACATGGCGAAACCCCGTCCCTACTAGAAGTCCAATAATTAGCCAGGTGTGGTGGCACATGCCTGTAATCTCAGCTACTGGGGAGGCTGAGGCAGGAGAATTGCTTGAACCTGGGAGGTGGAGGTTGCAGTGAGCCGAGATCGTACCAGTGCACTCCAATCTGGGCTACAAGTGAGACTCTGTCTCTAAGTAAGCAAGTAAGTAAGTAAGTAAGTAAGTAAGTAAGTAAGTAAGTAAATAAATAAATAAATAGAAATAATCCTAACCCTGCCTGAGACAGGGCCCATGAGTTTAAATCATACATGTAAAGAGCTCAAGATGGTTCCTGAGCTTCCTGATGTGTGTGGGGCCAGAGCCGTTGTGGTTGTTGTGTTTTCACTATTGCTGTGTGCCACCTGCTTTCTCCTCATGTATGCAGGTTTCGTGTCTCCAACCAGCCCATCACCCCCTGTAGAAGCGCCTGCCTTGCCCAGGGGTCAGGCGGCAGCAGGGGCTGGGCTCCGAGGCCTGTTTCTGCTGCTGAATAAGGGGTTCCAATGAGGCCAGGGCTGGTTCCCATTTCTGTATTCTAAATGACGAGTTGCATCTCCTCCCAGGAAGGGGCTTCAAGTGTGTATCAGAGGACCCCAGCTCTCCCCAAACCTCCTTCGGTGTTCCCAGTGGAGACTCGGGGGTTTGCTGACAAAGTTTGTTTTGGTGACCGCTGGTCTGGCTGTGCAGCTGCCGGTTTGCCTGACTTCCCAAGGGTTGAGATTCAAGATATTAAACTGAAATAAAAATAATGCATTGAAATGAGGAAAGTGATCATTAAACCTCAAAAAAGTAATTGGATGTTTGGATGTACACAACAGGAGAGCGTGGCTTGTGATCTCAAATTGTCTAATTCTAGTTCTAATTCTCTGTCGTCAGCTGCAAGAGACCTGCAGTCTTGGCAAGGGTGGGAGACCGAGGGTCCTGGGGCTGGCTGCTGTATTAGTGTCCTGGGGCCACCATTACCAAGGACCACAGACTGGGGGCTTCAAACAACAGAAACTTCCTCTCTCACAGTTCTGGGGACTGGAAAGTCCGAAATCAAGGTGTCGGCAGGGCTGGTTCCTCCTGAGGCCTCTGGGCCTCTCTCCCTGGCCTGCAGGCAGCTGTCTTCTCCGTCTCTTCACACTGTCTTTCCCCCATTCATATCTGTTTCTGTGTCCACATTTCCCCTTTTTATGAGGGCACCAGCCATATTGGGTTAGAACCCACCTTCATTAATTATATCTGCAGTGACCCTGTTTCCAAATAAGGTCACATTTGGAGGTGCTGGAGCTTAGGACTTCAACATATGGATTTTAGGGGACAGAATTCAGCTCATCACAACTGGTGCTGAAAGGTATTGATAGTTCTGGTTTGTAGGAGTTTTATTCGGCTAGTGACGGATGTGTAAGTACCGTAGAAGTTCTTTGCTGAGGAGCAGAATGGTGTGTGTGTGTGGACAGTTCATTTCAACGCTGCGGGCCTCAATCTCCTTGTCTGTCTGACAGGGTGTCCTTCTGCCGTGTGATGCTCTGATTCTGGCTTCACAGGTCACCAGCGCCCTGCAACCAATGGCCTCCACCATCCACCACCTGCACTCGGCCCCTGGGGACGCCTCCACCACGGTGTCACGGCTGCTGCTGGGCCTGCTGCAGCCACTGCCTGTGGCCGACGTCTCTGCCCTGCTGGGTGACATTGCGAAGCGTGTCTATGAAGTGATCAGCGTCCAGGTGCAAGGTTGGGCTTCCCTCGATCCTCCCTCTGGGGAGGCTGCAGGGTGGGGCCTGAACAACCAAAATGCAAGGTGGACGCTAAAGCCAGACTAGTCCTTTGTCTTTTAAAGGAGGTTTAAGTTCAGGAATGAAAGAATAACCGGTTCAAGTGTGTTCATCCCACAGGTGTGGGATCTGCCTTCAGCTCACCCTGTAAACTCCAAGTCCCCAAGTCCAGACCTCGAGAACTTATTTTGCCCCCCATTTCTGGCCCCTCTCCCCTTCCCTCCATCTCTCCTCGGATCCCTCTCGAGTCCTTCCCCCTCGGCAGGTTTCTCCTTCCATCCTAGTGGACACTGGAAGGCAAATCCCAGAGCCACACACAACGGACTTGTTTCTTCAGTTCTTTGGTTTCCTAAATTTCCCTCTCACCTCTTTCCCACCCTTGCCAAGGACATCCTTGTACTCCAAAGGCTCCTTCAGCAGAATTTGTCTAAAGTTGAGTTTGTATCTGGCAAAGCACATAGACGTGGCCTTGTTTCTGGAAGAAATTACCTATTCTTTGTTGTTGTTGTCCTACGTCAGGAATTGGCAAACCTTATCTAAAAGGGACCAGATAGTAAATATTTTTGGCTTTGTGGGCCCACGTGGTCTCTGTCTCAACAACTCAGCCCTGCTGCGGTAGCAGCCACAGACAGTCCACAAGCAAACCGCCGGGCTCCTGTACGGCTTCCTGGACCCAAGCAGGAGGCAGCCAGGCTAGTCTGCTGCTCCCACGGCTTTGCGGGAGGGTAGCTGCCTTGGTGAAGCCTCTTGTATGACACTGAGGAGGCACGTGACAATGCCAGGGCTCAAAGCCGTGTGAAAGCTCTAGCGATTGCAGTGATCTCCCTTCAGATCCGTACATGTTCTTCAAAACCAAGCTGCATTGCTCTAGTGCCATTAAGCAAAGTGTTTGTTCTATCATCTGCTCTGTCAATGACGTTCGGCCAGAGGTTGCAGGAGCACACCTGTGGGTGGACCAGTTGAGTTTATTATTCGAGGCAGCAAGGGAGCACCCATACCATGGAAAACCATGAGGTCTCTCAGTAAGAGATTGTTAGAAAGAAACTGTTACAGGAAGTGGGTTGTGATCGGGTGGTTTGGGGAGGGTCTAGGGAAGTGTGATTTTGTTCTGAATTGAATGCTGTCAGGAAATGAAGGCAACTCCATGATTGGGAATCTCAGTACATCTAAGCAAACGGGATGGGCACGATTGCATAAAGATAAGCTATAATTTGTGAAGAACTAATAATCAGTCATTTGGGCCAAGAGAGGGGCGTTAGTATTTTGTGGATGACACATGAGCTTGTCACTGTCTGTGCTTCGACAGCATTATGAAGAGGCTGGTCGCTGTGAGATGGTTCTGTCTGGGAGGCCTGGGCCAGCCTCAGAATGTCAGGGGTGACCCTGGGTTTCCTTGTTGGCACAGAAAACACCCATCAATTTGCTTTACCCTTGGGATGGGATGTTTTGGCCCCGTCTTTTCATGACCACCCAGTCTCAGTCCAGCCCAGAGTAATTTGCTCATGTGAGGCTGCCCGGTGAGCTAGCCGCGAGCCCGGCCTGAAGGTGGGCCACTGCTTAGATGAAGATGGCCAGCAGCCACACGGGGCCCTCTAAGATGAGGCTTCCATAGTCCCTCTTGGGCCCACTGCCCAAGGCACCCCTCAACCGACGTGGCACAAATCCATGGCATGAGTCCACAGAGGCCGTGCGTGTGCAGGTAGATGAGGACGGTGAGGTGGCGGCAACTGCTGAGTGTGGGTCCGGCTGTCCGTCCCTGTAGATGTCAATGAGTGTTTCTACGAGGAGCTCAACGCCTGTTCTGGAAGGGAACTGTGCGCAAACCTGGAGGGCTCGTACCAGTGCGTCTGTCACCAGGAAGCTCCAGCCACGTCTCCGCGGAAGCTCAACCTGGAGTGGGAAGGTAACGGCTAGGCTCTCTCAGATAGTGTGGGAATTGCTTAATTCCCATTTGCCCCCGGAATACTCACCAGCAGTGCTTGCAGCTGCAGCATTTACCCCGCGATAACTTTGCCATGAAATATCTTGCTTTTATTATTATTTTCGCATCAGTCTGGTATGTCGACTGTGGAAACAAAAGACACAATTCTCCTTATAGCATTCTGTTTTTAGCAGTGGTGTTTCCATTTACAAAATATAGTGACTCCTGATTGCTGGAAATGTCAAATCCTAGAAAACAGCATTCCTACGTGTGTTGTTAACATTGTTCTCAGACAAGTTGTTGGCCGACGATTCATTTGCTGAACCTGTTTTTCTGAAATAGACGATTCTGATGATTCAGACGATTCTGAGGTTAGTTCTGTTTAGAAATAACTCCAAGAACAGTTTTTATATTTTATTTTCATATTGAAAATCAGTTAGATTTGCTTTAGCCCCAAAGAGTGTGTTGATGTAAAATCAAATGAGTGTTGGCAGTGAGCTGCCCTTTTTGTCTTCGAAACGGGAAAAGGGTGAAGGCATTTTTCAAAGGCTGGATGGTCTTCAGACCACAGAGACTCTTCTTGCTGAGAGGGAACGGCTGGCTCACAGGCACAGGATACACTTAGTTCTCTCAACCATCATTGGTCTCCTAGTGGGCCACTCTTGCCTCCGTTCTTTGGCTTAGGAAATGTTGCTGTAGGTGCTATTCACTGTGCTAGGTGCTGGTAATGGTAGCATGCAGAAGCAGGTCCTAATCTCTGTCCGTCTAGTGGATTGTGGAAATGGAGACATTTTAGCGCATGAAAGGGCATGACTGATGTCTGCACTGGAACCACGGGGATAAGCTGGGACCATCCCTAGCATTGCGGGGTCAGCCTGGGGAGCAGAAGAGCAGGCCGGGCGTGGGGGAAAGCACGTAGAAAAACGTGCCCAGGTCTGTCCCCGTTGGGAGTGGGGAGGGATGTAGCAACCAGGACTGGCACACGGGATTGGCTCTGCCATCAAGCAGCTTGCAATAAGAAGTAACTGTGTAATCTGAAATGTAGGAAGGCGCTATAAAGATGATACACTGCGTGCAGGAGTCTAGGGTGTAGAAGGTGGTGGAGAAAGGGATTCAGGCAACATTTTAGAGGTAGAACCTCTGGAACTTACTGATTAATTCAGTGAAGAAGAGGACAAAGGAAAGAAGACGGAATCCAGATGTCTTGACTGAACAATGGAGTAGAGGGTGTTTCCACTGGAATGGATGGGGAAGATGCGAGCTGTTGTTATTATTGTCAGTAATAGTTACAGCTGAGATGGAGTGAGTGGAGGTGCCAGGATGCTGACTGAGAAGGACACGTGGTGCTGGAGCGCAGAGGTGGGGCTGGGCTGCATGTGTGAGTCCAGGGTCACTTGCCTCCAGGTGACACTTAAACCATGGCATGGCTAAGAGAAGGCAAGAGGCCAGGGGCCTGCGGCCAGAGAACCCCAACAGTGCCAGGTCAGTGCAGGAGGAGAGGCAGCAGAGGACAGGGGTAAGGCAGGAAAACAACTGGACGGGCGTGTGCAGCCAGGTCAGCAGGGAAGGCTCAGCAAGCCCCAGGCAAGCAAGCGGTAAGCTGGACGGCAAGCAGGGAGGGCACACGCGTGGGTAACAGCGGGAACTGCGAGGATCTGGTGCCGGCTTCAGGAGAGCAGAAGGGAAGCAGCCAGCAGCCCAGGTTAGGAAGACAGCTGGAGGAGAGAAAGAAGAGAGAACAACTGAGAATCTTGCAGGGAAGCTTGACTATGAAGAGGCTAAGGGAAGGAAAGCCTGGTGTGGAGGAGGCTGTGGACTCCCAGGGGGTCTCTCAGGCAACGCTGATCCCAGCTCTTTCTATTCCCTGTTCCTTTCCAGGTTTTGACCTTATTGAATACAAGTTTGTTTGTTTGTTTTTTTAACCTTATTTAAATCCTGCTGCATGTGTAATTTTATAAGCTGCTTTCTTCAGTTCCTATAGTGTGTACAAAGTTTCCAAGAAGAATCCTGGTTTTCACCATGACAATTATTGGTAGTTGAAAACTAACAGCTTTCTAAAGCAATCATATAATATTCTTTCCCCTCACGGGAGCACTTCTGTTGCTTCCAGGAGTCTGGAACTGTAACATTGTGACAAGGGTTACAGAGAATCTCTTTATACCCAATTTGAATTCGTTAATCATTTAGTTTGCATGTTCTTTTTCCTTAAAAGGACTCAACAGTGAGGACCATCCCTTTGTTCACAACAACAGTACAGCTGGCAGTTGCCGGCACTTCACATACACTGGGCTCTGCTCTCCGCACTCTGTGGGTATTGCTTCGTTTAGATTCTTAGAATAACCTCAAGAGGCAACTACTCTTCTTACGCTTATTTTTTCAGAAGAGGAAATTGAGGGAGACGAAGGTGATTTTCTTGCATAAGATCCCAACGCTGGTTCTCTGCAGACGCACATGAACCAGCTGTTCGTGACTCCCTGCCACCCTCGTCATACCGACGCCGTCTTCCCTAGCAGCCCTCTGGAGGGGACCTGCCTGAGAGTGTGATGGCCTCTCCCCGGTCCTCGGGGGCTGTCCTTTGTCCTGGTGCACTCAGGGAAACCGCCATGCCCTTCCCACCTTCATGAGTGCTTAGGACCAAGAGTCGGTAGAGCTCCAGAAGACTCGAATTATTTTCTTTGGTGTTCCAGAGCTCAACTAGGAAAAGGAGTCTAAGGTTGTGGTTTATTTATTTAATTAATTTTATTTTTTATTTTTTGTAGAGACAGGGTCTTACTCTGTCGCTCAGGCTGGAGTGCAGTGGCGTGATCACTGGCCACTGCAGCCTCCAGCTCCCAGGCTCCAACCTCAGCCTCTGGAGTAGCTGGGACCACAGACGTGCACCACCACAGCTGGCTCATTTTTAAATTTTTTGTAGAGACGAAGTCTCGCTGAGTAGCCCAGGCTGGTCTCAAGCTCCCAGCCTCAAGAGATCCTCTCTCCTTGGCCTCATAAAGCGCTGGAATTGCAGGCAGGAGCCCCCGTGCTCAGCCTAAGGTTCTGATTGGCTCTTCTCGTTGTTCTGTGGGCGAGGGGTGGAGGGAGTGGACCAGTCACCAGAGCCAGCTGTGGATGTGGTGGGCTCCAGGGTCAGACGCTCCCCCTACCACCAGGAATGTTCTCCTCCTATCAGAATGAGGCTGTGTGGGGAGAGTAGCCTTGCCTTCCACCCGCTGGCAGATGAATCCCTGGTGCCCTGCAAAGAGCAGGCACTCCACAAACGTTTCCTGGATCAATCACGGAAAGACAGGTTTTCACAGTGGTCATCCCAAGGGTCTCCAGGTGTTAAAAATGTCCAGCCCAGCTCTGGCAGCAAAACACTGAGAACACTCCTGTACCCCACAGCACGTGGCCTTGAGATCCACTTAGATCTTCGCACCCCGTGCACACCCCACGGCACCCCACTAAGTTCTGCAGAGAACCGCCTATAGATTCCTGCTCTGTGGCTTCCAGGGTGAGAATCCTGTCCCTTTCGTGAGCGCAGAAGGTTAGAAAACAGGTATTTTCCGAATAGTTATTTTTACCCTCGTCAGTCATCTGGAAAAATACTAGATTCTATTTACGGTTAGGTCTGTTGGCAGTCACACTCTGCCGTGTTGCTTGGCGCAGTGAGCTGCCAGATTACGTCAGGATACACGGCCGCTCGAGCGACCGCCAAACACAAACAGGGGAGGCTGCGCGGTCCTGGCTTCTCTTCTAATAGGGCAGGACACACTAATCCAGTGTTTCCAGTTCAGCAGTTTAGAGTGAATTCCAATTGCACATTGCTAAGGAAACAGCATCCCTGGCACCTTCCCTGCTGAACCAGAGATGAGTCATGGCTGCCCAGAAGAAACAAGGGCCAGGCTGTCAGACGTGGAGAACCCAGGGTGCTTTACCCAGATAGCGGCAAAGTTCTGAACTTGTGTTTCTAGCTGTGGATGGGGAGGGCTGTGGAGCAGGGGCTCTGGGGCCTGAAGTTTAGATTAACCACATTCCCGTGGCCTTGGGTCATGCAAACACAGAGTCAACAGCATCATTTTCTAGGCTACATTTAAGGGGGACACTGAAAAGGGTCCCGATTTAAGGGTGACCAAAGGAGGGTGTTCTAGCTAATGAAAACCAAAACCCAAGTTATAGGGGCCTACCCTGGAAGAGAGGAGTCAGGGGTAGAAGGAAGATTTCTAGTTTTAAAATGCCGCAAGGTCTGTCCAACAAAAGAGAGATTGGCCTTAGCATGTTAGAAGTTGGTTGGTTGGTTTTACAACACAAAGAAAACTCTTCAAGCTGTGCTCTCCAGCCACAGGAACAGCTGCAGTGAAATTTCGTTAAAGAAGGATTGGGAGATATGTAAGTTTCCTGGGTTTCCCTAACAAAGACCCATGAACTGGGTGGCTTCAAACAAGAGAAATGTATCCTCTCATAGATCTGAAGACCAGAAATTTGAAATAGTTAGCACTGGGCCCAAATCAGGATGCCAGGTGGGCTGTGCTCCCCAGAGGCTCTGGGAGAATCCATTCCTTGCCTCTCTGCCCTCTGGTGGCTGCCGGCATTTCTTGGCTTGTGGCTGCATCCCTCCTTCTTCTGTTTTTGTTTTGTTTTGTTTTGTTTTGTTTTTTGACAGGGTCTTGCTCTGTCACTCAGGCTGAAGTGCAATGGCACAATCTCGGTTCACTGCAGACTCCATCTCCAGGGTTCAATTGATCCTCCTAGCTCAGCCCCCAAAGTAGCTGGGACTATAGGCACACATCACCACGTATGGCTAATGTTTGTGTTTTTTTGTAAAGATGGGGGTCTTGCTATATTGCCCAAGCTGGTTTCAAACTCCTGGGCTCAAGCCATATGCCCACTTTGGTCTCCCAAAGTTCTGGGATTACAGATGTGAGCCACCACGCCTAGCCCTACTCCATCTTCAAGGTGAACATCTTTGTTCTTTCTCTATTCCAGCTTCATACCACCTTCTCCTTTGTGTGTGTGCGTGCATGTGTGTGTGTCTGTGTCTGTGTGCAAATCTCCCCTGATTCTCTCTTATAAGGACACTTGTGATTGCATTTAGGGTGGACCTGGGAAATCCAGGATTATCTTTCCATCTGAAGATACTTCACTGAATCACATCTGCAAAGATTCCTTTTCCAAATAAGGTCACAGTCATAGGTTGCAGGGATTAGGACTTGATATCTTTGAAGGTTGTTATTCAGCCTACTACAGGTGATAGGAAAGCTTAGTAGTAAGGCAAATGAACTTTGCTATTTCTTATTGTTCAGCTTTGCCATATACTACCTACTTGACCTTTCTAGGCCTCAGTTTTGTCCTCTGTAAAATGCGGATCCTAGAAGAACCTATTACTTGGGATTGCTGTAAGGACTAAATAGGATAACATGCCTGGTGCACACAGCACCCAGGAAACATTACCTGTAACTGTGTCACCGATAGCATGGCTGGATTGTGACATGGATGTCGTGGGAGGGAGTACTGTAGGGGGTTCACACCAGCGAGTTAATTTATAGCTCCCTGCGAGTTCCTACTGCTGCTATAATGCATACTGTGCAGCTTGGACACTGTGGACATTAACTCATCCTTGTTCCCTCAGTGTTTATAGTGATGCCGGGTGCATAGTAGATGCTCAATAAAAAAAAATTGAGCCATAAGAAATTGGTGCCCTTGTTGGACAAACATGGTCAAATATGGACAATTCCAAATGCTTCAAGGTAACAGACTGGAAAAGGGCCACGCAGATATTGGATGGGAGCGTTGTCCTCAGGGATAATGCATTTCTTTGGATTAGATGAGATTCTCTTTCCCCAAATGCTCACAATCTCTCTTAGTTGCAGAAATCACTGATGGCAGCTTCTGCAGATGCCTCCGAGGGCTTTCACAGCATTTGAAATGCCAGATTTGCAGGTCCCCATCCAGTGATCCAAAAACCCACTGGCATCTTAATTTAAAGGGTAAACATATTTATTAAAAGAGATAAAGCATACATTGCCACCCCTGTACCCTTTGAGACTTCTTTCCAAACACCTTTCCTCTGCATTCTTTTCAAATAAGTACGGGTGCCCTTTTAATTTTAACTCCGCTCTGCTGAGAAGCACCCCTTATAGAATGTGCTTTTAAATGGCCTGTAATCTGGGTGGGCCATCTGTTGTCCCATCCATATGCTCTCTCACTCTGTGTCAAGTTTGATATCTGAATGGCAACAAGGAGGCAAGGTTGGAGCCCTGGGTGTGGACTGGGGGCTGCTGTTCAAGCCGCTGGGCTTGCTCGTGGCCGCCCCACTTTCCTGTTTGCAGGGCGTTTTGCTGTCACACCATCCTCCACTGACATGGATAAAAAAATGCTTGGGGCTGTGTCCTGACTGTACAAAAATAGAACAGTCAGTGCTTTTAGCAGACTTTTTGGAAAAGAAATTGTAGCCCTTCCTTCCTTTTGCAGTGAGACATACGTTCCCAAGGAACAGACTTTAAAAAGCTGGGTGGTTGTTAGAAGGCCAGGCAGTGGGGGGTCTTTTTGATTCCCGGGTTCTGGTGACCCTGGAGATGGGGGGTGCCACCCACAATCTCAGGTCCCAAGCTCTGGGCCACCCTCAGTGGAAGCATTTCTGCTTTTCTTGCCACTAAAGAAAATATCATAAAGAATGAATCCATGTCTGTGTCTCTGATCAATATGCCAAAAATCACTGGATAATCCTGTAAAAAGTATAGATGTGTCTTTTAAAAAATACATTCTACCCCACATCCTAGGAGTGTTATTAGGACACATCAGAATTTGGATGGATGTCACTGATCCTGTCCGAGTGAAGCCTGTGCAGATTCCCCTAACAGATGCTCATCTACTGGGAGGTGGAGCGGCAGGGTTTTCAGTGGGGGAGCTCACCTACACAGGGCCCAAGATTCAAAAGAGGCAGCTCAGTCTCAGATTGGAAGGAAGAGACAGCAGGGCTATGTCGCGTGGTGGTGACTGGGCACTAAATGGATTCTGAGCCTCTTGGCAGCCAAGGCGAAAAGGGAAATGAGTTGGATAGTGTTGGGTTTTTTTTTCAATTTGTTATTGAGAGAAAGCAGGCACATGCGTCTAAAAACAGAAATTTTTTCATGATACTAGAAAGTATATATCCTACCAATCCTTATATAAAAGGCTTTGGGAAGCCACACATTATAAAATTATTATTTTCTTTACCACAGTTTTGCAAAATATATTTTTTAAAATTCTTCATTGCTTGTTTTTATAGAATTTAAACTCTCATGTGAAAATTTTGGTGACTAGACTGGGGGCCATCTACTTTTTATATAACTCTTGCTGCCCAGATACTTGCTGTACAGCCAGAATTTTTTTTAACCAAAAAAGAGCTTCAATGCTATTTGAGCACTGGCATATATATAGGTTGGTACATCAGAGCTTTGCTCCCTGAGGCATGGATTTCAATAGGAAAAGCATAAAAAAGGCAATAAAGGAAGCTCAGCCTGGTTTCTGAGTCCTGCTTCCGACGAGGCCATCGTTTACGGCGTGATGAGTCAGCCCAGTGCAGACGTTCTCGTGCAAATGACCAAGTGCTTGTCGTGAATCAGAGCAGCCCAGGGCCCTGGGAGAAGCTGGCAAGGCAGCGTTTGTAGACGTGGTACAGAAACCTTACACTGTCGTGGCCATTGCTACAAATGTTTGCAGTACAATGACTGCCAACGGGTCCCCAGAGAGAGTGTCCTGACTTTCTAGTAACCACCGATGCTGGATCCCAAGGAGCCCCACGACTCAATGCTATTCATTGTGTAGACAGAGGCACATTTGGAGGACTCCTACCAAACTTGGCTCAGTGATAGAGAGGCTGAGATTTCAACTTCAGACCTCTTGCTTCTCCATTTCATCTCAACTATCCCCATCACTGAATGCAATCCTGAGCTACCTTCCAAAATTACTCAGAAGCCTGCAGAGAGAGAAGATTGATACTCTGTTTTGAACGAATGGGTTTCATTTATAATTGGAAAAAAAAATGAAAACAAACAAAAAAAACAGCAAGTGGGCCAGGCGTGGTGGCTCACACCTGTAATCCCAGCACGTTGGGAGGCTGAGGCGGATGGATCACGAGGTCAGGAGATCAGGATCATCCTGGCTAACATGGTGAAACCCCATCTCTACTAAAAATACAAAAAAATTAGTAGGACATGGGGGCGAGCACCTGTAATCTCAGCTACTCGGGAGGCTGAGGCAGAGAGTTGTTTGAACTGGGGAGGCGGAGGTTGCAGTGAGCAGAGATCGCACCACTACACTTCAGCCTGGGCGACAGAGTGAGACTCTGCCTCACAACAAAAAACAGAAAACAGCGAGTGCTGTCCTGCATGGGTCAACTTGATCAATAAATCAGTGAGAACCAAGTTGAGACGAGGCTGTGTTACCTGCTTCAGAAGATAAAGCCGCGCTTGCTGACCCTTTGCTCGTCTTCTCTTCCTGTGCTTTCGTAGATTGTCCTCCACTCAGTGACTACGTGGTCCTCAACGTCACCAGTAGCAGTTTTCAAGTATCCTGGTGTTTAAATTCTACGCAGAACCACACTTTCCATGTCTGGGTTTACCGAGGTATGGAGTTGCTCAGGAGCGCCAGGACACAGGGCCAGACACTGGCGGTGGCTGGGCTGGAGGCTGGAGTGCTGTACAGGGTGAAGACCAGCTACCAGGGGTGTGGGACCAACGTCTCCACCACGCTGACTGTCAAAACCGGTAAGGCCCCCAGTCAGAGACCCACGTTAGCTTGTGCACTTGTCTTTCTATACCAGTTCCATGGCCTTAGCACGTCGCATTGTTCTTCCTATAACCAGGGCACCAGAAGTCACTGACCGCCCCGTACTTCCTCCCTCCCCTCCCAGTTATCCCACTGCCTGCCTGGCATTGCACCGGCCCACTGGCGCCTTCACGGGCTCCCTCGCTTCCCTGCATCTCATCCTGTTCGGGGTTCACTCTGCCATGTGAGGGGACAACATGTGGAATCAGAAGAACCAATAAGGCATCAGCTAGAGTGAAGCAAAGGAATAAAATAATAATAAAGCAGAAGGTGGCAGCTCCTGGCGGGCAGATCAGGACCCTGCCTGCTTACCCCACAGCACTGAGGCGGTCTAAGTTCCCTCCCTGACAGGGGAGAATCGCTGACGTTTTCATGCCTCGCTTCCCTCGTGATGCATGTAAAGTGAATGCCGTGCCCACCACATTTGTGCTGGGACGAAATGTTTTTTCTTTTCGAGACAGGGACTCACTCTGTCACCCAGGCTGGAGTGCAGTGGTGCGATCACAGCTCGCTGCAGTCTTGACTCCCTGGACTCAAGTGATCCTGCCACCTCAGCCTCCCTAGTAGCTGGGACCATGGGCACATAGCACCACACCCGGCTAAATTTTTTTATTTTTCGTAAGGATGGAATCTTGCCATGTTGCTCAGGCTAGTGTCAAATTCCTGGGCTCGAGTGATCCCAAGAGGAAACTTTTGTCCCCAAAACACATGATGCACACATGAACTCGGCACTTTGTCGGGAAGGAGCCGGTGTGGCCCGTCTGGGTCTGTCCCATGGGGCACACTTGGCTCTGCCCGTGACTTGCTCCCCACTTGCCTGGTGCCCGGTGGTGCCTAGACTTGGTCAGGTGAGGCCTGGCTGGTGGAAGTTCTCCCCAAGGCTGGCCTCCGTGGCTGTGGGATGTGAATGTGGGGTTGCTGGGGCTCCATTCTGGTCCTGGGTTCTTGACGTGTGTGTCCCTGACGTAGAGCCGGTGGGAGCCCTGGGCTGTGGGCTTTGGGCTTCACGTCTCAGCAGAGAGTGCAGAGCATAGAAATTGCTGCATAAAGACCATACTGGGGCCTTTCTCACTCACAGAGGTTAATGCTGGTGACAGTGAGTGGTGGTGGAGAATGAATGGCGGAATGTGGCTCAGCCTACATCCTTTTCAAACTGATTTGGGATGAACCTGAAGCTAAGTCCTCATAGCAGCCAGCGTGGGCATCCAGAGAGCCCCGAAGCACCCCGGCCACGCTCGGCACAAGCCCTCCACTGTGCACGCAGCTTCCCAGTCCAAGCTGACTCCACCTCATCTTCTCATTTCATTTCCAAAGTACGCCGGGACTAAGGGGAGGAGGAACTCTTTTCCCTCTTTGGAAACTGAGGCCTGAGAGGCAGTTCCATTATAGAGCCATCCTCCAGGGTGCAAAATTGATCTCTATGGGAAATGCAATAGGAACTTGCAGCTCCCTGCCCACCCCACCAACCCTGTGCCCTCACCCTCCCCACCCACCAACCCGTGCCCACCCCACCCTCCCCATCCCACCAACCGTGCCCTCACCCTCCCACCCACCAACCCATTACCCACCCCACCTCCCCACCCACCAACCCCGTGCCCTCACCTCCCACCCACTAACCCCATGCCCACCCCACCCTCCCACCCACCCAACCCCGTGCCCTCACCCTCCCCACCCCCTAACCCCATACCCACCCCACCCTCCCCATCCACCAACCCCGTGCCCTCACCCTCCCCACCCACTAACCCCATGCCCACCCACCTCCCCACCCACCAACCCCGTGCCCTCCGCCCTCCCCACCCACTAACCCCATGCCACCCACCCTCCCACCCACCAACCCCGTGCCCTCACCCTCCCACCCACTAACCCCATACCCCCCAACCTCCCCATCCACCAACCCGTGCCCTCACCCTCCCCACCCACCAACCCGTGCCCACCCCACCCTCCCCACCCACCAACCCCGTGCCCTCCACCCTCCCCCACCCCACCAACCCCGTGCCCTCACCCTCCCCACCCACTAACCCCATGCCCACCCCACCCTCCCCACCCACCAACCCATGCCCTCACACCCTCCCCACCCACTAACCTGCCCACCCCACCCTCCCCACCCACCAACCCCGTGCCCTCACCCTCCCCACCCCACCAACCCCGTGCCCTCACCCTCCCCATCCCACCAACCCGTGCCCACCCCACCCTCCCCCACCCACCGCCCCATTACCCTCACCCTCCCCACCCACTAACCCCATGCCCACGCCACCCCTCCCATCCCACCAACCCATGCCCACCCCCTCCCCACCCTGGCTTGTACCTCCACCCTCCCTACCCCACTAACCCCGTGCCTCACCCTCCCCACCCCCACCAACCGTGCCTTCACCCTCCCCCACACCCCACCAATCCGTGCCCTCCACCCTCCCCACCCCACCAATCCGTGCCCTCACCCCTCCCACCCACCAACCCGTGCCTTCACCCTCCCCACCCCACCAACCCCATGCCCCTCACCCTCCCCACCCCACTAACCCACGTGCCCTCACCCTCCCCACCCCACCAACCCCGTGCCTTCACCCTCCCCACCCCACCAATCCCGTGCCCTCACCCTCCCCACCCACCAACCCCGTGCCCTCACCCTGCCCACCCACTAACCCCATGCCCACACACCCCACCCTCCCCCACCCACCAACCCCGTGCCCTCACCTCCCTACCCACTAACCCGTGCCCCACCCTCCCCACCCACCAACCCCGTGCCCTCACCCTCCCCACCCCACCAACCCCGTGCCCTCAGGAAAAAAATACCTACATTCCAATGTCAGGCACAGATAATTTGGAAGACTCTAGAAGACTCCTGAATTATCAACCTATTCCACTTCCCAGCCTTGATTTTCTTTCCTTTTCCAGATTATTAAAATGCCCTTCTTTTGTAGAGCCGTTTTTGAAGGAGCCCAATTTGCTTTAAAGGCCTTGTCTAATTCCACCTTGTCATGAGCCTGTGACGCCGGGAGGCAGCAGGGCAGGTATTACAGTGGCACCTGATGCCCAGAGCCTCCAGGGAGTCCAATTCCCAGGGTCCTGGAGGAGGCCGCTGGCCCACGAGACTCTGCGATACGTCGGGGCCTGAGAATCGGAGGCCACAAGGGGTGCTCCTCCCTCTTGCTAAGATGGGAGATTCACAGGGGCCCCAACTGGGAAATATACAATATACGACATTAGTGGCATTTCTGCAGCCTTAAGTGTGGCGTGCATAGGTGACACACTCTCTGATGGCCCGTAGTTTGCCAGCTGGGAGAGAGCCAGGGTGGGGCACAGCTGCGGGTGGCTGTTAGATAACCAGAGAAATGTGCAGAATTGCAGCCGACCAGCTCCTGTGCCTGCCGACGCTTGGGTTGTGCATGCTGAGTTTCTTCTCATAATGAGAGACGAATATTCCCGTGTCCCATCTTGAACCTTTTTTCCATCTTTGCTTATGTCCAAAAATAATGCAACCTCCCTTGTAAGTGAGCAACCCTACCAGTTTGACTGGCAGAGTACGTTCTTGAGAGATGGGACTTTCAGAGCTAAATTCTGGAACGTCCCAGGCAGGTTGGAACCCTTCGGTCACCCTGATGTTGGGGGCCTGAGTAAGGGCCCTGTGTGAGTACCCGCTGGGCCCTGTGGTTACGAATAGGGCAAAGGAAAGCAGCAGCCACCCCATGGGAAAGGACCCTCCATGCACTGGTTGAATCTCAGTTCCTGTGGGTACGGGCTGTGTGTGACGTTTGCACCTCCTTCCTGGGATGTCTCTGCCCTGGACATAAAAGTGACTGTTTATTCTTTCATTTCTTACGTTTATTTCCCCCAATTAGGATACCTCAATCTAAGATTCATGCCCCAACCTATTAAAAAAAATTCTCCACCAAAGAGTAGGCTTCATGGAAAACATTAACAGACAAGTGTGTGACTTTTGACCACAGGCTAATTTGTTTCACTGTCTGTCCCAGATGCCCAGGTATTTGAAGTCACAATAAAGATTGTAAACCACAACCTGACAGAGAGGTTACTCAACCACAGCAGCATGGAGTTCCAGGACTTTTCTAGACAACTGCTTCACGAGGTAAAGCCACAATGAGACATAAAAATCTTTTCTTGGGTGTTCTGAGTGAGGACATCAAACACAAGCCAATTCCTGCCCAGCTCTTCCTCTGGGATTGTGGCAAAAATACATGTTACTGCAGCTTCAGGGGAGGCCAAACCCAAATTGCACAGTGATTACTCAAAAGCTTCCCCCCTGCTTTTATGGGGTGCTTAATTCAGATACGGGGCCAATCCATCTTTAAAATATGTGCCTTTATTCAAATGGTCTACACCATTTAATCCTACTGCTGGATTTTCTGTGGAACCTTCTGTCTGAGGGCTCTGTCTTCCAGCTCTGGGGTAGCTTCATTAGCAAAGTGTTTACCAGCAATCACGGCATCCATTCCTCCCTCGTGACTAAAGGGGGACATCAGCAGACAGCCAGGGAGAAGCAAGCCAGTGGGAAGCACATCTATCCACAGATGGTGCATTGGAGGGAAAAGTGACTTCCTAAGCTGCCAAGAATCACATAAGGTCTGAGGTTTTACCCTCCCTGCAAACTAACAAGTGAATCTACCACAGTGTCATGCATGCTGGCAGAAGACACGAGACTCCTGGGCCAGAGACAGAAGACAGCACAGCACAGCAGGCAGCATGCGTGTGCTGTTGTGCCACTTCCCCCTCCTGCACCCGAGTCCCACAGAGGTGACGCAGAGGGGCCCAGGAGCATGAAGCACATAAAGTGGGTCTGCACCTGAGCTGAGGAACCCCAACCCTAGGGAACCTGAATCTTTTATAACGGGTGCAAGCACTTGCTCCAGAAGGAGACATTATCTGTTACATCAGACAGTAACAAACCTGCCCTTTGCTTTGGAGGGAGCCATTATCTCTCCCTCCCAAGGCTGTTTACTATGCAAACATCCTTGGAAAGATATTCTAGAACAAAAGGGCAGTTAGTGCTTCTACTTGCAAGATGTGTAGAAACGCCAGAGACCCACAGAGCGTTGCTTCCCAACATTTGCCTGCAGGGGGAATCTAGTTTTCATTGTTTTCAGAGAACTCCCTCCCTTTTTTAATGTTAACTCACTTGTGTGTGCAAGTATGGATTGGCAGAAAGGCGGGGAATCAGGCTGGTATCTCCCTTGCTTGGGCATGGGTAACCCTAAGCACCTGGCTCTGTGTGCATGTTTTCTGCGGGATACAGCCTAGTAAGTGGGGGGACAGCTCCAAAGAGCCGTAGGCATTGTTCCTTGATGGGGCCTCCCCATCTATCAATCCATTTATCAATCAATCCAATAGTCTTTCTCAAACACTCACACAAATGACCTTCACACCAGTTTTTGGGACACTCAGAGGGGACTGTCCATCTGATGCTGCATAACTGGGAGCTTGATTGCAGTGGTCACTGTGAGTCCCCAGCACACACCAGACCAGGCCTGGCCATCCCAGGGAAAGCCCAGCTAAGGTGCTGTGAATGGACCTCTCTGCTTGCTCTGAGAGGTCGGTCGCTGGGTGCCTCCTCTTGATTGTAGAGGAGAGAAATGGCTCCATGAACCATCCGTTGGTCACACCTGGAACCCTGCTCAACGGTCGTGAAGACGTTGATGGATGTCTGCTGTCTGAGTAGCTGTTGCCTCTTGGCTAGGTCGAGAGCTCCTTCCCGCCGGCGGTGTCTGACTTGTACCGAAGTGGGAAACTGAGAATGCAGATCGTGTCTCTCCAGGCGGGAAGCGTGGTCGTGAGGCTCAAGCTCACCGTGCAGGACCCTGGGGTTCCCGTGGGTGTCTCCACGCTGGCCCCCATGCTCCGGCCCCTGTTGGCAAGCACAGTGTTCCAGATTGACCGGCAGGGGACACGTGTGCAAGGTACAGCCCAGCCACCCGCCCTGCTGCCTGGTGCCCTCCAGCTCAGAAATCCTCTTGGTGACTTTGAGTCAGTCTTTCCTTTATTTAAAAGGGTAAAGAAATGCAAATCCTATTCTATCTTCCTCCACTGGAACCGGGGGCCAGGGCAGTAGCCCTGAACAATCAGCCCACCTGTGTCTCATCGGTCAGCCCAGGACCCTGAGTGAAATGGGGCTGGAAGGTCCTCTCGGAGGAAAGGGACAGAAGTTCACTGTGTCTGTGGTCAGGGCCCCCCCAGCACTTCCAGGCTGCTGGACAACTGCCCACATGTGGGTCTATTTCTTTTCTTTTTTTTTTGTTGGGACAGAGTTTTGCTCTTGTTGCCCAGGCTGGAGTGCAACGGCACGATCTCGGCTCACTGCAACCTCTGCCTCCTAGGTTCAAGTGATTCTCCTGCCTCAGCCTCTCCAGTAGCTGGGATTATAGGCGCCCGCCACCACACCTGGCTGCAGGGCCAATGGGAGCAGTGTGCAGCGTCCTGCCCTGGGCTCCTGCCTGCTCTGCGCCCTTGCGTGGCCAGCCCGGGAGGGTGCAAAGGCTTGCTGGCAGCTCTTTCTGCTCCCACACCTGCCTCTTCCTCTGAACTGGAGGGCCGGCAAGCCTCAAGGCATAATGCAAGACTAAATACAGCTGTCAGCGCCTTCCTCTGAGCTCGCTTGGGAGCTGTCTGGGGGGACGGAGGAGTGAAGACTAGGTGAATCACCACACACCAAAATAGACACGAGGTGCTTGGTGGTTTGAGCCAGCGGCTTGCTTGGTGCCTCTGCTGTCCTCCATGGACTGCAACCCAGCCAGCCTAGGCTCCGAACCCAACCCAGAGCAACCCTAGGAGAGTTACTGATAAGCTGGAGGTAGGTTGAGTTCATGTTATACTCAGCTGGACCCCACCTCCGGTGTAGGAAGGTCATGTTATACTTAGCTGGAACCCCACCCCCGGTGTGGGAAGTTCATGTTATACTCAGCTGGACCCACCCATCGTTATTTAGCTGGAACTCACCTCGTGGGAAGTCTGTTATATCAGCTGACCTACCTCTGTGGGTTCATATACTCAGCTGACCCCACCCCGGCCAGTGTGTCTAAGTGTTATACTAGCTGGACTCCACCTCTCGGTGTGGGAAGTTCATGTTACTTGGCTGGACTCACCCTCGTGTGTGGAAGGTCATGGCATCAGCTGGACTCCTACCCTGTGTGGGAAGTTCATGTTATATCGTAGCTGGACCTATCCCCGGTGGGAAGTTCATGTTATACTCAGCTGGACCACCCCCGGCGTGGAAGTTCATGTTATATCTAGCGGACTCTACCTCAAGCGTATGTTATACTCAGCTGGACCCCACCCCCGGCGTGGGAAGTTCATGTTTTACTCAGCTGGACCCCCACCCCTGGCGTGGGAAGTTCATGTTATACTCAGCTGGACCCTACCCCTGGCTCAATTACTTTTCTATTTCTTGGTTGAGACACTAAGTATTGGAGAATGTTGGCACATCAAAGAGAGAGGAGAAGGCATTTCAACTTTTGGGGTGTGGAAACAGAGAATAAAGAAGAGAGGTTAGATGCGCACCTGTGGGTGCTAATATCATCCAAAGAAACCAACATTTCCTAATCTTTGCCCCCAAATAAGCCAACCGGTGTGAAGGTGGGCATGGGCAGGCCATAAACTTGTCATGAGAGTGTTGGACGAATGCCCCACCTCTGCCCCAAAAGTGCCCCTGCTCCCGGCCGTTCACTGCAAAGATGGCTAGGAAGGACTCCTTCCAGCATGGGTCTGTCTTCTGATCGCTCTCTGGCCATTTTCTCATGGGTTTTGTCTTGTATCTAACCCTGGCAGACTGGGACGAGTGTGTGGACAGCGCAGAGCACGACTGCTCGCCGGCTGCCTGGTGCATCAACCTGGAGGGCTCCTACACCTGCCAGTGCCGCACCACCAGGGACGCCACCCCTTCCCGCGCAGGCCGGGCCTGTGAGGGTACGTGTCGACCCCGCTGCCAACTCTGGGGAGGCCCCCTGCCCGAGAATCTGGGGGTGGGGCAAGGTCCAATTCTCCATCGGCACAGCGCTGAGGACCTATGGTAATGTTAGGGACCTACAGAAATGTTTTCATTTCCATTTCTTTTAAAATCAGAAGAAAGAAATTAATAGAAGGATAGTAAATATACATAAAACAATGAATCTAGCCTGGATTACACTCATCGCTATCCAGATGTCATTATAAAATGTAATTTTTGATAGATTTTTAAGTGGAGGGGTGCAGGGGTCCATGAAGGCCAAGTTCCTTGGGCCCACAGAAGTCAGGATGCAGCCCGGGGCAAGGGATTCCTCCCTAGGTGGCCTGGAGCCCAAGAAGGGGTGGAAGCCCAGAGAAGCTGGAGAGCGGCTCGATGGGGGCTGCTGAGCTCTAGTCCTGCTGTATCAGCCCTCAGTCTTTTCTGTGGGCCAGTTCTGATGAGAGGGTTGGGGATACCTGGGGTGCTGAGCTGAGCAGCAGGAGGAGGCCACGTGAGGACCTAAAAGGCAGTGACTGATGAGACATGTCGGCCTGGATGCAGGCATGGCAGAGGCGCCCAGCCACCGGCTGCCAGCCCCCACTGAGGCCTTTCTAGCTGGAAGGAGCAGCCGAGACCTGTTCTCTGGGGAGAATGTTTCTTAGACACTGCGAGTGCTGCTCTGCTTCCTAACACCCACACCTTGTCTTCTCCTGTTTTTCTTATTTGCCTAATGTCCTGCAAGTCGATGACAGCATCCAGCACCAAGTCCCACACTGAGCACAAACCTGGGGGAAATTGTCCCATTTTCCCAGAGTCCTGATGGATTAATCTGAGGCCTGTGAGAACCAAGCCCTGCATTTTCAAGTCCGGGTTTTGTAGCCCCCCGGGGGGATCCCTCACCCTCAGCTTCAATCTCCTCATTTATCCAGTAGAGAGGCGTGACTTGCCTTCGGAGATTCCCGGGGAGCCTGCAAACATGAGCCCATTAAACTCTCCCGAACGCTGGCTGAAGCCGCCTGCGGCCCTGGCCAGGTCCACGCGGGGATGCACAGCAGTCCTGCTGGACGGTTGTGGTGCCCTCCTGGGAGACTCTTAGTCATGGGTGGGATCCAGCAGGCTCTGACCGTGGATGTTTCTTGGCAGGTGACCTGGTGAGCCCCACGGACAATGGGCTGTCTGCGGTGACAGGGCTAACGGCCCCAGCTCTTGGCACGGGAACAGCAGCCCTCGGCCTAGAGAACTTCACCTTGTCACCCAGCCCTGGGCACCCTCAGGGCACCCCAGCAGCAGGCCAGGACTGGGCCCCAGGGCCCCCGCCCAGGAGAGGAGGCAGCAGTGTGGTCGGGTATGACAGGAACAGCACAGGAAAAGGCGAGGAGCAGGAGGCGCCCAGCACTGCCCTGGGTCTGGGGATGGACCAGGGGAGCCCCAGCGAGGTGAACCCCAGCCAGGGGAGCCTCAGACAGGCGAGCCCCAGCCAGGGGAGCACCAGCCGGGTGAGCCCTGGTCATAGGAACACTATTGGGGTGATAGGCACCACCTCCTCCCCGAAGGCTCCTGGGTCAACCCACAGCTTCCCTCCTGGGGCCACAGATGGCCCACTGGCCCTCCCTGGACAGCTACTGGGAAACTCCACCGTGGAGCCACCCTCCTGGCCTTCCCCTACTGAGGACCCCACCGGCCACATCATGTGGCATGCCACCCGTTCCACCTGGGAAACACTTCTGAATCCCACGTGGCTGCAAAATGAGGACAGTGGACCTTCCGGTTCTGTCGACCTGCCATTGACCCCCACCCTCACACCTCTGAAGACCCCCGCCTGTGGTGAGTTCCTCGAATGGTGCATGGGGACTAGGACTAATAGGACCCATAGCCCGTGTGAGCCTCTGGTGGCAAAGCTCCCGTGGCCATGGAGTGGCAGGCTGCTAGCAATGCTCAGGCAGCAGCCTCATCTTGTGCGCGAGGAAACGGAGGCACCCAGCAGCTGGTTTCTGGTTGAGTTAGGAAGACAGCTTGGTCCGCTTGCCTGTCCCAGCCCTCTCTTCCTCGTGTCTTAGGGCTCCCTGTCTACAGCCGCTGGGGCAGAGGTCTGCCTTCAGGAGCAGGCACTGGAGCTTACTTGTCGCATTAGGTACTGGAGCCATCCCCTGAGGCATTGACCACCCCCGCTGTCCTGCCTCCTAGCAGAGCTGTGCCCCCGCCTGCCCCAGCCCCAATCAGTGTGATGACACCCCCACAACAACTCTGCACCCCCCAGTAATGCTGCCCTCCCATAGCTGCTCTGCACCCCTCCATTGTTTGTCATCCTGCCAAGCATTCTGCAGCCCTGCAGCTGCTCTGCACACCAAAGTGTGCTGTACCCCAGCTTTTCTGCACCCCCGGCTCTCCCAGCTGTTCTGCACTTCCTCAGCGGTTCTGTCTCCCCAGCTGCTCTGTATCTGCCCAGCTGTTCTATATGCCCCAGAGATTCTGCATCTCCCCAGCTGTTCTGTGTGTCCCCAGCTGTTCTGTATCTGCCCAGCTGTTCTATATGCCCCAGAGGTTCTACATCTCCCCAGCTGTTCTGTGTCTCCCCAGCTGTTCTGTGTCTCCCCAGCTGTTCTGCACCTCTATAGGTGTTCTGCACTTTCCCAGCTGCTTTGTGCTCCCTCAGCTGTTCTACACCCACAGTTCTGTACTTCCCCAGCTGCTCTTCACCCCAGTTGTTGAACCTCCACAGATGCTCTGCATTGTCAGCTGTTCTACACCCCCAGTTTTTTTTTTACCACCTAAGTGTTCTGTACCCCCATCTGCTCTACACATCCAGGATTTCTGCACCCCTCAGCTGTTCTGCACCTCTAGTCATACCATAACCCCAGCAGTTCCATGTTACCTATGGAAGATTGAGCCATCACCAAGCCGCCAGGTGACATCTCAGGAGAGTCACAGCAGCTCTGTGCAGGAATTGGGTCTCGGCCATGACAGCCCTGTGAGCTTGCAGAGCTAGTCTGCCTCTGGATTTCATGCTAATGAACTGTTACATGTGATCTTCCTCAATGCATTTCCTCTGCTAAGCAGGCTCTAAGACTAAACTCTTAAGCCCATGTAAGTCAGTATTACCAAGGGACCTGAGGTCTTCCTGTAAGAATGGTTCTCTAGCCAGCATTGTCACCAATATCGACCCCTAGTTGGATCCTGGGTAAATCCACCCAGGGGTCAAGAGTAGACGGTCCATCTGAGGCGCCACCAAGAACCTGCTCAAGAGACCTTCATTTTGGGGAGTCCAGGGGCCTCAGGGATGTATATGAGCCATTTGCTGAAACAAAACCAAACCAGAAGCCATTCGCTATCATCCTGAGGAGGGGCAAGGATGCAGGCCCAGAAAGCGCGGGCTTGGGACGTTTGTATAGGATCCTACTCACCCATCACCTTGGCGGCCATCACCTGCAAATCGCTCATGTCCCCACAGTGATGAATTTGATTTTTGGCATTGGGCGAGGCTTCTTTTCTCCTAGAAATGGCTTGATTTTTAATTTTGGTGTTTCTATTCCACTTGCCAGTTCCCGTCTCCATTGGGAGGATCGTGGTCTCCAATGTGACCAGCACAAGCTTCCACCTGGCCTGGGAGGCAGGTCTTGCTTTGGACTCCGCCTTCCAGCTCACTCTGACTTCCGCATGGAGCCCCACCGTGGTCCTGGAGACCTGGAACACGAGTGTGACAGTGTCGGGGCTGGAGCCTGGGGTCTTACACCTGGTTGAGATCGTGGCCAAAGCATGTGGGAAAGAAGGTGCCAGAGCTCATCTGAAAGTGAGAACAGGTAATGGGCTTCCATTTGGTTTTTTGTTTTGTTTTGTTTTGTTTTGTTTGTTTGTTTGTTTTTGAGACGAAGTCTCGCTCTGTTGCCCAGGCTGGAGTGCAGTGGCGCGATCTCAGTTCACTGCAGGCTCTGCCTTCCGGGTTCACACCATTCTCCTGCCTCAGCCTCCCGACTAGCTGGGACTACATGCGCCCGCCACCTCACCCGGCTAGTTTTTTTGTATTTTTAGTAGAGACGGGATTTCACAGTGTTAGCTGGGATGGTCTCAATCTTCTGACCTTGTGATCTGCCCACCTTGGCCTCCCATTTGTTTTTAAAGAGAGGAATAAAAAGTATGAAAAAGGCTTTCCGTGGGTTAAGGCTTAAGAGAGCTGGATTAGTTTGTGGGCTGCTAGGTGTCATTGTTCCTCTCAGCTTAGGGACATCTGGCTGGCTTCAGCAGGCATGCAACAACGGCCAGGCAGGAGGCGGCTTATTCAGGAAAAGGCGTTAGGCAACCCGCGGGCTCTGAGGCAGCGGCAGAGTGCTGCAGACTGTGCCTGATAGGCTGCGGGTGTGGCTCCCCTGTGTCTTCTTGGGGAAGCAACTCAGCTGTTGAGCTGCATCCACTCCCTCTGATCTCAACAGTCTCAGAGGACTTGGCTTTCAGGAAGGACAATCGGCAGTCACACGGACGATCTGTGAGCAGCCCGCCGGAGCCTGGGGCCACAAACTAAAGAATTGAGCAATAATGAATCAAACATAGACTCCACTGCGTTCAAGCTGGGCGGTGACCATATTACATATATTTGGACGAAATTCCTCTTTTCATTAGCGTCGCCACCTGGGTATTTTCTTATGTGTACCTCACCTGGATAGTCAAGGGCATATCTGATGTTACAGGCTGGTTTTCACACTGTGGCAGTTTCCCAAGTGTTAGTAGCAGTGGTCTGCACGGTCGGGTGCACACCCCTTGAGGGAGGTGTAAGATGGTTTTCACACCGTGGGCAGCATTGATAGCAGTGGTCTGCATGGTGGGGCGCGCATCCCTTGAGGGAGGCATAAGATGGCCTATTGGGATGCAGTAATAGAAGTTGAGAACTTCTATGTCTGTGCTTTAAAGTACTAATCAGCCATGGCCTGAGAAATTAGAGAACAGAGGGAGTGCATGACGTGAACCGTGAACCGTGCAAGTTCACGAGCAACTGGAGAAGAGGGAGATCAGTGCTGGCTGGACAGTCAGGCAGGGTGGCCCTGGGGTCTGAGAACCAGAGTTGGGCCACTGAAGGTCTCAGCTGCTGTAGACGGGACAGGCTGCATGGGGGACCCGGAACATGTGGGCACGCTTATACCTGCTCTCACCTGTGCACCTGTCCTGCTACTGATGGCTTTCAGACTGGGTTGCCCGTGCCAGCCATGGAGACTGAACCAGAGGCCCTCAGGGGCAGCCACAAAAATGATCTCAAGGATGGAGAGTTTGGGGTTCCCCCAGGAATGCATAGCAGAATGGCTCTGTGGTTTGTCTTAAGCCTGAGTGAGAAGCTCTGGGGAGATGGACTCTCAGCCCCCTGAGGGGAGAGCTGTGTCTTTCTCCTTCACTGTCTAGAATGCCTCTGGCACATGGCAGGTGCTTCACAAATATTTGGTGAGGGACTGACTGAACACTGGGATGGCTGCCATGCCAGGGCCAGGATGGGGTGGCGACATTCCTGGACCACATTTATGTGCCACATACTCCTAGAAGCCCTCCACGAAGGGAAAAGATTCAGATGGAACAGATGATGCCAAAACAGGGACTGCCCATAGACGAGGGGAGGTAGGGCTGCTAGGGGAGGAAGAAGGGCTGGCTCTAAACAAGACCCCTGGGCACCCTGTGGCCCTGTGCACTCTGAGCAGGGGCCTGGCCAGGGCTCTAAGTCCTGGTAAACCTGGGACAGCCCAGTTTGTACCTGTAGCCCTGGCAAAGTTATTTAGTGGTGCCTCCACATGGTTCAAGTCATGCCAGCTTGCTGGTAAATTGTTTGAACGCCCCAGCATGGGTAATGGTAGCAAGGAAGGAGGGGTGTGTGTGTTGAGGACACAGTTGCAGGGGCTGAGCTAGCTCCGTCCTCTGGAAGTTTCTCCCACTGTGTTCAAGCTTTGTCCTGTGTCCTCTGGCATCTGATGGACTGTGTCACTGAGCCCTGGCACTATTCCTTCTTTCTAGAACACAGGGAGGCCTTGGTGTGATGCTCTTCACGGACATGAAAATGTCCACTTATTAATATTGAAATGTTACTTTGTTATCTAATACATTCCAAATGTGCTTATCCTCCATCCTGCAGCGGCCCAGAAGCTCATTGGAAAGGTCAGAATTGCAAATGTCAGATACTCAGAATCCTTTTGCAACGCGAGCAGCCAGGAGTATCGAGATTTCCTAGAACTGTTCTTCAGGACGGTGAGTTGGTGATATCAGCCCTTAATTCCTTTCAGGAGGGAAAGGGTGGAAGGCTGATAGAATTCTAGGCTAGGTGTGGTGGCTCACGCCTACAATCCTAGCACTTTGGGAGGCAGAGGCGGGCAGATTGCCCAAGCTCAGGAGTTCGAGACCAGCCTGGGCAACATGGCAAAACCCCATCTCCACCAAAAAAATACAAAAAATTAGTCTGTCATGGTGGCTCATATTTGTGATCTCAGCTACTCAGGAGGCTAAGACAAGAAAGTCTCTTGAACCCAGGAGGCAGAGGTTGCAGTAAGCTGAGATCATGCCACTGCACTCCAGCCTGGACAAGACAGTGAGACCCTGTATATAAAAAAAAAAATTCTAGTCTCATCCAACTAGGAATTTGACTTGTAGGTCCTATGAGCTCTTCATTTCTGAAGAAAGCCAGGACTATAAGCTCTGGCCTGGCTCCCTGAGTCTCTCTGGATCTGCCCTGGCAAAGACACGGTCAGCAGACAGGAGGCACAGCTCTTCCTCTGCTGCATCCTTATTTCATGTGCTTTTCCGTCTAGTGAAATCTGTTTTTCAGTTGTGGAACCTATGAAGCAGAAAATCCCTCCGTGTTTTTTTTTAAACCTGTAAAAAATGATATTTATTTCATAGACCATAAAAGCTATACTTTTAAACTGTACAATTCGGTGGTTTAGACTATTTTGCAAAATCGTGCAACCATCACCGCTAATTCCAAAACATTTTCATCACCCAAAAAGAAACCTCATTAGAAGTCACTCCCAGCTGGGCATGGTGGCTCATACCTGTAATCCCAGCACTTTGGGAGGCTGAGGCGGGTGGATCACCTGGGGTCAGGAATTTGAGACCAGCCTGGCCAACATGGCAAAACCCTGTCTCTACTAAAAACACAAAAATTAACCAGGCGTGGTGGCGGGTGCCTGTAATCCCAGGTACTCAGGAGGCTGAGGCAGGAGAATCGCTTGAAACCAGGAGGCAGAGGTTGCAGTGAGCTGAGATCGTGCCACTGCACTCCAGCCTAGGCAACAGAGCAAGACCCTATCTCCAAAAAAAAAAAAAAAAAAGAAAAAAAAGGAAGTCATTCTCTTCTCTCTCACCACTTCCTCCCACTCCTGGTAATCACTGATCTGCTTTTTATCTACATGGATTTGCCCATTGTGGACATTTTACAGAAAAAGAATCGTACAATATGTGACTTTTTGTGTCTGGCTTCTTTCAGCTGGAATGAAGTTTTCGGATTTCATCCACGTGGCAGCATGTGTTAGCACTGCATCCCTTGTTATGGCTGGGACATAACCCGTGCAGGCTCATCCATCCATTCACTGAGGGCACTGGGCGGCTCCCGCCCCTGTCTGTTATAAATAGTGCTGCGATGCCCCTGCCTCAGAGAAAGTTCTTTTCCTGCTCTTTCCTGCGTTCCTCCCTGCCATCCCCTCAGCATTCTCTGGGACGCTGTCTGTCACCATTTAGTGACGTGCCTTCTCGTGGACTTTTTGAGGTAGAGGGGGGTGCCCTTGTCATAATCTAGTGATTTTGTTTGCGTGGAATCTCACATTGTAGATTTCTTGAATCTGGGAGTTTAAGGCTCAGCACAGAGAGATATGACATTGCCACCTAGTGGCCCGTCGTGCTAATATCGTACCAGGGCTGCAAACCCCAGCGCTTCATGCACAGATGAGAAGATTCGGCTGCCTTTGGGACCAGCCTCGGTGGCTTAGCTCATTCCCAGCTCCTGGTTTGTGCATTCAAGAGTTGTTGATGGTTTGGTTAATAATATGGTTTGATTAATAATGTGATTTCATTGATAAGGTTAAATAGTAGTTACAATATTAAACAACAAACACCGAATCCTTCCACCTGGCTCTCGTGGTCAAACGAGGCAGCTCCATTTCCTTCCCAAGTTTCTTGATTAATCTTTCCTCTTTGAACCATTTCTTCCTTTGCCCATTTTTGGGGATGTTGTTTTTCTGTTTGCCTAGAATTTCAGGACAGCAAATAATTACACAACTTAATCACAGAAGTAGGATGTTAAGAGAAATTTCGGGGGGTTCACTTGCTGATAACTGCACACATGGATGTCCAGGAGGTGTCAGCTGCGTGCCTCGGTCCCTGGCTCTTCACCACTTCCTAGCAAGGGACCTGGAACTTTGCTTAGAGGTTGGTTTGAAATGCAGCTAAAGGTCACATTAATCCAAGACTATGACAGATTCCTCTGAGAGAAAGAGAGGGAATATCTGATTGTGAAGATGGTCACGACAACAGTCATCTACTGAGCCAACCCAGGGCAGCTGCAGTCTCCCTGGGGTCCACAGACTCTGAGAGGGACAATGGATCTGTTCACCTTGGCGGCCCAGAAGCCGGGGAGTGAGTCCATGACCTGGGCCCTGAGCCACCGCACCTGTGAGGACAAACCCTGGAGGTGCCCTTTCCATAAGAGGTTTGCATTGAGGATGATTGAAGCTCATTATAAGATTGTTTGCCTGTCTGGGTATTTTTTGTTTTGTTTTGTTTTGTTTTGAGACGGAGTCTCACTCTGTCGCCCAGGCTGGAGTGCAGTGGAGCGATCTCTGCTCACTGCAAACTCCGCCTCCCGGGTTCCCGCCATTCTCCTGCCTCAGGTGTTTTGACCAAGATGGGTTAGTGTGGAATCATATAGTGTGTGATGTGTGACTCTGTCCAAAGAGACAGAGTAGAAAGTGGGGCATTTGGGGGCAGGAACCCCCTGTCCTAATAGGGATGTTGGAAATGCTCACAGGAAGAGTATGGGGACAGGCAGGGAGGGAGAATGAAAGGGGACATGTTCTGCAGTGTCAGCAGCAAAAGGGCTGTTCCAGAGAAGGCAGTGGGGAGTGGTGTCCCTCCCCACGACCCCGCACTCAGCCTCCTGCCCTCGGTGGCTGCAAACCAGGAGTATTAGGTTCTAGAAGCCCTTGTGAGCCCCCAGCAAATTTTAAGCCCCATGAGGTAGGGCCTCTGCCTGTGTCCCAAGTCCTATACTTACCCCACAGGCATCTTTCTGAAGCTGTTTGCTGGTTTGGGGGGAAACAAGGGCTGTTCTCATATCACAGACACTCCCAGGCATTTGTGCTGGGCTTGAAAACATGGCAGACAGGAAAGGGGCCCAGAGCCAACCTGTGGCTTTTACCTTTGTGCTATGGGCCAGCCCTGCTGCTGGGCAGACTGGCAGGAGGAACCGCCTCGAGACGGGCATCTGTTTCCTCTCAGCGTGGGGACCTCCTCACATGGCCTCTTTCCTCACAGGTGCGGGGCTCCCTGCCAGCCACGCTGCGTCAGCACATGGACGCCGGCGGGGTCAGGATGGAAGTCATCGGCGTCACCAACGGCAGCGTCGTGGTGGAGTTTCACTTGCTGATAATCGCAGATGTGGATGTCCAGGACGTGTCAGCTGCATTCCTCACCGCCTTCCAGATCGCGCCTCTGCTGGAGGTGATCAGAGGCGACACCTTCATACAGGGTATGAGAGGCTGGGACTGAGCTTCTCCCATGTTCTGGAACCAGAGGCAGCCAGAGCGCAGCCACTACCCTTCGCTTTTGAAAGATGTTGTGTTGTGCCCATGTAGTCCTTCTTTCCCCGGAATTAGATAAAGATGTGAAATAGACAGGACCCTCTCTGTCCCTCCTATTGTGATTATAATTTTGTAAAGGTTGAAGTGTTGAAAACATCTTCGGGTAAACCTGCAGATGCCCAGGGGTGCTGCTTTCTTTTGGGGTCTACTGCTCCCCTGCCACTTGTTTCCATGGGCTGAGGGCAGACGCCTCCCTCTCTGCAACCAGGCCCTCTCCCAAGCACAGTTCCCAAGGAGATCCCAGTAAAAATAATTAACGAGAAAAGCAGGGAGAAAAAGAAAATTTAGATTCTTTTCTCCTATCATGCTTGAAAATAGATGATGAATGGCTTATAGTTACATGTATCAGAAACCAAAGACCTTTTAAAATTTGAAGATTAATGTTAATTTTTTGATTTTTAGAATAAGAAGGACTTCTCAAAGGAAATACGATTTTCAGAGGAAAAGGATGAGATACTGACTACATGCAGAGATAAATCAAAATAAAGGCACCATTTGAAAGCAAAGTAAACAAAAAATTTCAATAATTTGATGAAGTGTTAGTATCCCAAATGTATAGAGAGATCATACAAATAGATGATAAATATTAAGAACCTGATGGATAAATGCACGAAAGATCGACACAGACAAGGTATAAAAGAAGAAATATGAATGACTAACAAAGATGTGGTAACCCAAGACATCCCCATTAAAACGCGTTGCACTTGTTGCCCATCAAATTGCAAAAAAAGGTCTTTTTACTGCTGACATGAATACTGGTGAAAGTGTAGTGAGGCAGGTGTTTGCACAGATTGCTGGTGGCAGAAGGATTTGCTCATGCTTCCTGGAAACCAGTTTGGTGATATAAATCAAGCGCTTTCAAAGTGGCCATCCACCTTGATTCTGAAATATCCCAATTTGATCTCAGTTTGGACCATAGTTTACATACAAAGATGTTCATCTTCAGTGTTACTTTAAAAGCAAAACAGTTGGAAGTCCCAATCATCCAGTTACAGAGAAGGTGCTAAGTTACCAGGTGTCCCTGCCCTGGGCTGTTATGCAATGATGAGAATCGAGGTTTGTGGATTTGCATGGAGCTAGGTGGTGGCAGAGGCAAGCTATGCTCTCAGAGCATGCCTGCATTTTGAAAGGCCGTAAGGAAATATGTCCACATGCCAACATGCCCCTGGTCATGCTTTTCTGGTACTTGTCCATGTTCTGCAGTAAACCTGTTTTGCTGTCAATAATCAACCGAGCGTCATGGTGAAAGGCAAATGGCCTGAGGGCCTTCTGCCCAGGGTTGGGCTTGTGGCCTGGGTCCCTTGGGCTGGACCGAGGTGGGTCTGAGGGCCTGTGCATCTCCTGGTCACTCCTGGGAACTTAAGGGTTGGCCCTCCTCTGCCCAGATCCCCCTCCCAGCTCTGGGCCAGACTCCTCTTTCCAGAACAGCCTCTGCAGACCTCCCTAGCCATTCCCAGCCCCACCAGCAGGAAGCCTCCTGTACTCTCCAGAACTGGCCAGCTTCACTGCAGTCTGCTCTGGCTGGAGTTTCCAGCTTTGTCTGGGAGATGCACTCTCCCCTGAGGCTTCTGTGAGCCCGCAAGCCCCCGGGGATGTTCTTCTGTTTTGTCTTCTAAATATTGGCAGATTACGATGAGTGTGAGAGGAAGGAGGACGACTGTGTGCCCGGGACATCCTGTCGAAACACCCTCGGGTCTTTCACTTGTAGCTGTGAGAGAGGAGCCCCCGATTTCCCTGTGGAATATTCTGGCAGACCCTGTGAAGGTAATGATGTCAGAGTTTCTTTTTCTGGAATACTATCTCATAATCAGTATTTTAAAAGGACATTCACGTGCCAAGGGCTTCTTGTCCCTATGAGGTCATATTTCTGTGTCCTGGGGAAGTTTCCTGTGTGTGATGTGGGTGCACGTGTGTGTGTGATGTATGTGTATGTATGTGTACATGCGTGTGCATGTTCCTTCCCATTCTTTCATACGTGTCCAGGCTTCTGGGCAGTGTCTTATCTCTCCGAGAGCTAGCTCTGATATCCATGAAGAGAAAATACACACATACATGAGGTGTGAACATGCAGATGCTGAGCGACCGTCTTGTGAAACACGCAGCCGTGGGACACGCGACACAGGGGAAGGTTTCCTCTCGGCCACTCTTTCCACCCAGCTCTTTTCCTGTAAAATGGGGTCTGAGTGGATTTAGCGCTGACCCCAAGATGACCACTGCTATCCGGGAATCTGCGTCAAGTAAAGGGAGGTGGACGTTTATACCAGTGAGGGCAGTATCCAGGGGGCTGTAGAACGTGTCCTGCTTGAGGCAGAATCAGGAAGCACAGAGGAGGCTAAGTTGCTTCAGTCCAGTGAGTGTGGCCGGGGAGGGCTTCCTGGAAGTGGTGTCTCGAAGCTGGTCTTAACGGATAGCTAAGACGGCACCCAGCGGGGAGGGCAGGGCATGGTGGGTGGCTGCTGTGGTGAGAACAGAGCTGCTGACGGGCATGATCTCACAAGCAGGTACCTGCAGGAGATGAGTGGCAGAGAGTGGGAAGCAGGCTGCCCAGGGAGGCGGGTGAGGCAGCAGCCAACTGTGAAGGCCTCAGCAGTGGTTTGGACTACAGCCCGGAGACAGGAGTGAGCTGGGTGGAGCTGCAGGGTGCTGGGGCTGGGCGAGCCCCACTCTGAGATAAAAGAAGGCACAAACCAGGCCCACAGATGCCGGAGCCACTGCTGAAGGAGGGTGCAGGAGCTGTGTCTGGGTTCTGCTTCCATATAGATCAGGGAGGGAGCACCCCGAGATGGGTGGGTGGATCGGAAGCCTTTCCGGGCCCCCTTGTTCTCCTAGGCATTGAAACTGAACCTGCTCTGGGGGCAAGAAGGGAGCTGGAGTGGGAAACTTTGGCACAAGGACCTCAAGAGGAGGCATCATTACCCCATCTTAGAGAATAGACTCAGGGCTCTGAGAGCAGAAGACTCACCCTGTGTCCACTGGCTTGGCACATCCCCGGCATCAGGTCCCTTGGTCCCTGGCCCTCGGGGGCCCATAGTGAGTCTGGCTCCCTGAGCTGGTGGAGATACGCAACACGTGCATGTGTGTGCATGTGTGTGCGTGTGTGTGTGCATGTGTGCACATGTGTGTGTACGTGCATGTGTGTGCATGCGTGAGCATGTGTGTGTGCATTGCATGCGAGTGTGCATGTGCATGTGTGCATGTGTGTGCATGTGTGTGTGCGTGTGTGCATGTGTGCACATATGTGTGTGCGTGCATGTGTGTGCATGCGTGAGCATGTGTGTGCGTGTGTGTGCATTGTGTGCATGTATGTGTGTGCATGTGTGTGCATATGTGTGTGTGTGCACACACACGTGTAGTTGTGGCTGGAACATGCGGTTCCCAGGTGTGGCTGCTGCAGAGTGCAGGGCAGCTCCAGTCTGCTCCTTACCCCTGCCCCTCCGTGCCAACCCCAAACACAGAGCCACTCTGCCTTTTCCTCCTTGTGCCTTGCAGGTGACTCTCATGGCAACGAAACCTGGGCCACCAGCCCAGAGAGGCCTCTCACCACAGCAGGGACCAAGGCTGGCTTTGTTCAAGACACCAGCCCCACCCCACAAGGCCTGCCCCAGCGGCTGAACCTGACGGGAGCAGTCAGGGTGCTCTGTGAGATCGAGAAGGTGGTTGTCGCCATCCAGAAGCGCTTCCTGCAGCAGGAATCCATCCCCGAGTCCTCGCTGTACCTGAGCCACCCCTCCTGCAACGTGAGCCACAGCAATGGCACACACGTGCTCCTGGAGGCCGGCTGGAGCGAGTGCGGGACCGTCTTGCAGAGCGTAAGGCCAGGAGAGCCAGGTTCAGGATGCACGCTAGGGCGCAGGGGGCTCTACAGGGGAGGGCCAGGCAAGACTCTATACCCCGAGGGGAACCCAGCAAGGGGGGGTCAGGACAGGGTTGAGTTCTCAACCAGGGACCAGCCTGCACCCCAGAATCGGAAGGGAGCTGTGAGTCCACCCAGGAGGGACTCTGGTGCCAAGTGCTGGGCCAGGCTCCAGAGTCGGGGCTTAAAACTCCTCCCTGCACAGACAGGATAGAGAGGCAGTAGGATAGGAAGAGGCAGGAAAGCCAAGGAGTTGTGTGTGGATATGAGAGTGTGTGTGAAAGTGTGTGTGTGCGAAAGTGTGTGTGTGCGAGTCTACATCTGTGCACGTGTGCATGTGTCTGAATATGTCTGTGTATGTGGGGGTGTGCATGTGTGTGAATGTGTGTACATGTGTGAATCTGTGTGTGCGAATGTGTATGTGTGTATGCATGGCTGTGCTTGTATATGTACGTGCGTGTGTGCATGCATGTGTATCGCATGCTTGTGTGCGTGTGGGTGTGCATGCATGTATGAATGTGTGAGTGTGTGAATGTGAGAATGTGTGTATGTGCATGTGTGCATGAGTTGAGCATGTGTGGATGTGTTTGTCCATGTGTGTGAGTGTGTATGTATGGGTGTGTGTTTGGGGGGCATTGGGTGGCATTAGTCAGAACTCCCCTGTTGGAGGGACTGTGTTCCTAGCAAACACTCTATTTCAGGGTCCTGGACGGGCTACAGGGCTCCCAGGACAGAGGGAGCCCAGGTAGGGAAAGTAGGTTTTCTTGGCCTGAGGCCTTTGCACCTCCGTGTGCACAGATGAGCTCCGGCATCTCCCCTTGCAGGTGACTCTGGGCCAGTGGGTCCTGGGTCTGCTCTGAGTCTCTAGTGTGTGGTACCCACGAGGCGGCTGACCTGGCTCCAGGTCCCAATTCTTCCCAGGGTGCCTCTGTGTCACGGCGAATGCTCCCACCGTGCCCTCGTTCGTCCCCAACCCCACTTGGCCACATGGAACACAAAGGTTTCATGTTCAGGGCCCTGCTGGGGGGACAAGAGGAGGGGAGACCCTGGGTGTAAAGCTGGCAGATGAAACCCAGAGTCCGGCATGGGGTGTCAATGTCTGGGAATCAACAAGGTGGGAATTAGGTGAACATCCTGAGCAGGAGGCTGGGACGTGGACCTCGGGGCTGAGTCAGGAGCTAGCCCTGGGGAGCAGAGGCCAGAAAGCCCAGAGGCTGAGGGATGAGATGAGGAGGTGGGGACATAAGGTGGTTCCATGGTGTGGAGCCTGCTTGGAGCCTGGAGCAGGGATTGAGGGTGACCAGGAAGCTGAGGGATTCACATGGACGTGTTCGAGGACATTGCAGAGCACAAGCTTGCCTGAGAGGCGCAGCTCACTCTGCTGAGCTCATTCCGCTCCCTCGGGGGCTCTTCAGACCCTCCCTGGGCTGAAGGAGTGATCTGCACTGTTTCAACAGCTACAAAACCTTCCTCATTCCTCAACCCCTCAAACTGCACGACTTAAGGAGAACTGCCCAGAATTAGTTTACTCCCTCAGAGATTCCTAGACAGCCACCTGGAGGCCGGGCGATGGCAGCAGAGGGGGATGTCTGCAAGGGGGATGGGCAGTGATCAGTGGCTCCTGTGGCTTCTGGCAGCTTCCGTGGTGAGGGAGGTGTGGGGTGAGAGGTGCACATGAGCGGGCCACTGTGGCATCCTCGAGCCTGTGCAAGGCTCTTGCAGGGCTGTGGGGCCGAGTGGAGGGGCTGAGGGTGCAGGACACCCTGCCTGGTGCTCAGAGCACCACCCACACACCAGCAGCTCCAGGGGGGAGGCAGCACCTCCCAGGGCTGGGGCCCCGGGTGGACCCTGCAGCCGGCAGCTCCCTCCATGTTTTTCTGAGCTAGACCAATACTTGGCTTGATTATTAAATGCAGCAGGGTTTGGGGCATGTTGAAAGAAAAGGGAAATTTGTCTCTGATGAGTCACCCAGGCCCTGGAATCCACAAGAGCTCTTGACGGTTTGTGACACTTGTCAAAAACTAAGTTTCCCAGAAAGACTTATTTATGCAACGGCCACAGAATCCACACAGGTTCAGGTTCTGCCTCCTCTGGTCCACAGGGAATGAGCAGAGGCCGAGCCCTTAGGCTCTCTTGGGCGATTTGTGGTTGGGAGAACCGCCAGGGTCTTGATGCTCCTGGGGAGAAGCTCTAGAGAAGAATCCCCATCCCCGGTTCCCCCCGCACCTAGAGCCGTGGCCGACAGCAGGGCGTGGGGGGCCGGCTGGGGCCTGGGAGCTCCTCACACCCCGCTTTGTGCTCAGAACGTGACGAACACTGTGGTGAGGACCACGCTGAGGAACGACCTGTCCCCGGAGGGCATCATCCACCACCTGAAGATCCTGAGCCCCATCTACTGTGCCTTCCAGAATGATCTGCTGACGTCCTCCGGCTTCACCCCGGAGTGGGGGTGAGGGAGAAATGCCCCCGCTGCTCCACAGCCCCGTGCCTCTAGAGCACCTGCACTTTCAGAGTTCTTCAGGGTTGCAACCACTTAAGGACCCTTCCTTGAGATGGAATATACAAATGGGTGTGGCTGGGCTGCTCCCCAGCCTTTGTTCCCACTTCCCACTCAGGGCCAGCCAGACAAGGCCAAATACGTCCCTGGCCAACCCCATGGGATGGCCCCACCCACGGCCTCCACCAGACACCACTATTCCTATGCTAGGTGGCCCCCCCTACCTGCCACTGAGTCTCCACCAACACAAGTGAGGGAAGCAACACCTGGACCAGCCAGTCCTGAATAAATGGCCTCCGTGTGCTCTCATTTGCAGTGGGGGGTCTTCTTGTTCATTTGCACGCTCCTCTGGAGCTGTGTTTTGGGGGAGAAGTGGGAACGAGAGGGGCCACGATAATGCACCTCCTGAAACCCACCTCCTGCAAGCTGCTTCCTCTTACAGGGTTTACACCATCATTGAGGACCTCCACGGCGCTGGAAATTTTGTTACCGAAATGCAGTTGTTTATCAGGGACTCTCCCATACCTCAGAATTATAGCGTGTCTGCCAGTGACGACGTCAAGATCGAAGTGGGGCTCTACAGGCAGAAAAGCAACCTCAAGGTGGTCCTGACGGAGTGCTGGGCAACCCCGTCCAGCAACGCCCGGGACCCGGTCACCTTCAGCTTCATTAACAACAGGTAGGGCTCAGGAGTGCAGGCACCCCCATCCAGCAGTGCCTAGGGCTTCATTAAGAACGGGTAGGGCTCAAGCAGGCACTGCCGTTGCCTGGCCTGGCTGTGTGGCCGGCTCTGGACTCTGCAGGATTTTCAGGCAAGGGCTGTCATGGACCTGGGTTTTGGGGAATGAATGAGGTGGCCGGTCCTCGACTCCCATGGAGCCTGTGGGATCTGTGAGCGTTGTCAGATGTAGTTGTGAGCAAGCGTATCTGAGAACAAGGACAGCGGGGCTCGCTGACAAGCAAGGAGTCCCTTTTCCTCTCTTCTCAGCTGCCCGGTGCCCAACACATACACCAACGTGATTGAGAATGGCAACTCCAGCAAGGCTCAGTTCAAGCTGAGGATCTTTTCCTTTATCAACAACTCTATCGTCTATCTGCACTGCAAACTCCGCATCTGCATGGAATCCCCTGGGGCCACGTGCAAAATCGTAAGTGTGTTTTTGGTTTGCTAAACGTTTGGTTGGATTCACGTTGCTTATGGTTACAATGCAAGGCTCTGTTAATAGAAGCCTGGGGCTCGAGTGGCTCGGGGCCGACCTCTGGGAGGAGTCGCTGGGCCTGTCCTGCAGACTCTGCGTCTGAAATGATATTTCCACAGCAGGCAGCCCTTGGACAGAGGACTCATGTGAACTGGTGGGCATTTCCCATTTCTCAGTGGCTGAGCTAAGTTCCTTCTTGAGGCCATAATGTTCAACCGGCTGTCACATTGGCACTGCCTTGCCATGATACCTAGTGCTTCTAAGGTGATTTTTAGGTGTAAAAATGTTTTTTAAATATTATTTTTAACCACATTGATGGAACATACTAAATATCAGCCACTCTGTTATTTAATAAAGGTTTTTTCCCCTTTCCTTTCTTCAACATTCATGCAGGGCCAATTTTACATTCCCGTTTCCTTAGACTTTCGAATTTGAAATAGGCTGTGTAATCCTGAGGTCTGAAAACTGTGCTTTATATCACAGACAAGTACATGCGGTTCCCACGTGTTGGTCGCCTGTCGTCCGAGGCAGGGGACAGCTTAGGGTGCACACTGCTTTTTGCTCAGTGACCGGATGCTTCTCTCTCCTCGGAGGGAGTGCTTGTTCCTGCGCTCATCTGAGCACGCGTCACAGGATGCGGCTGTTTTCCTGGGTGACCAAGCTCTGAGCGTCTGCGGGATGTGGATAGAGAAGCAACACAAGGAAGGCTGATCCTGTTCGTGTCCGTTTTGCTCAAACGGTAGATCTTCCTGAGCAATGGGACAGAAGGAACCTCAGGTCCTAATGACAGCAGGCTGAGGGCCACACACGAGGAGCCTGCCCCTGGTTCCATCAGAGATGACCGGCGCACGGACAGCCACTGCCAGGCTTGGTCTCTGCAGGGAGCGGCTGGCTCTCAAGTTCTTTACAAGAGGATTCCTTACAAGAGGAGCGGCACACTGTTTTTTCAAGCTCCTTTAGGATGGATAGGGTATGAGCTTTCCAGGCTGCTGTAGGAATGTACCACAAACTGAGCAGTTTAAACAGTGGAAACATTGTCTTGGTTCTGGAGGCAGGAAGTCCAAGATGGAGGTGTCAGCCGGCTGGTTCCCTTTGAGAGCTCTAAAGAAAGGATCTGTCCCAGGCCTCTCTCCCAGCTTCTGGTGGCCTCAGGCGTTCCTTGGCTGGTAGATGGCATTTGCCCTGTCTCTTTGCATCACCTTCCCTCAGTACACATCTATGTCTGTGTCCAAATTTCCCCTTTACATAGGGACACCAGCCATAGTGGATTAGGGCCCACCCCGATGACCTCAGCTCGATTATGTTTCCAAATAAGGTCACATGCACAGGTGCTGGGATTTAGGACTTCCATACCTTTTTGGAGGACATGTTGCAGCCCATCTCAGGCATCTAGTGAGCAGATCCTACCATGTCACTGAACCAGGCAGTCTTTTTTGTAAGGCAAAGGTGTAGAGGGGAGCAAATGGCTGCAGCGGCCTTTGGAGAACACAGAGGGACTCAGGGCTGTGACCAAGACACAGTCCTCAAGGGACCCAAGGAAGCAGCTCTAGGAACCAAAAGCAGCTCAAGGGGTCTCCTCGAGCCTGCTGCTCTTTCAGACCTCGCCTCCTTCCCCGCTGATGCCTGGGCCTGCCTCTTGTTGCACCAGGACCCACCACCCTGGTCTCACCGGGTCTCCCACTCCTCTGTCTAAACTTAGCCCCCTTGCCTTGCAACTTCTAGCAGGATAAAATCACATGAATCACATTAGCATACTTGATAGTAGCTCCTTTCTCGTAAGTGTTGTTCAATTAATTTGATGTTTCTCTCCTTGGAAAAAACCAGAATTGCAATAACTTTCGGTTGCTGCAAAATAGTGAAACCTCTGCCACACACCAGATGTCCTGGGGACCCCTCGTCAGGTCTGAAGGTGAGTTGATGACTTGGTTTAGACAACGAAAGAAAAGATGCAACCAATTCCTTTTCACCAGCATGGAAACAAAAAAGCAACTGTTTTGAAATGCAGAACTCTTGAGAGACTTCTAAGTGGCATATGATAATAGAAACACTAATAGTTACTATTCACTGAGAGCTGCTATGTGTCAGCCTGGCGCTAAGTTCTTCACATGCAGAATGTAATATGATCCTCTCAGCAACCCTAGGAGCATGAGCTATTACTGTACCCATGCTACAGATGGAAAGACTGAGACTTCAAGAGGCCAGGCACAAAGTTACATAATGAAATGTTTTGAGCTGCATAATATCAAGCTGGTGAAGTTTTCTGACACTGGGTAAATGATACATGCAGTGGGTTGTTAAGAGATAAGAACGCAAGCTATAATCAGACCATGTCAACATGTGTGTGCACACACGCACAAATGCATGCACAAGAAAAAGCTATTTTATTCAAAAGATGCAAAAAGCGGCATGTCTGTTCCTCCTCAGTTTAAAACTTCCATCAGCCAATTACATTGCATGTATTTTCAAAATTCCACATCAATTTTCCAGAAAAACATTTTATTTTCTGTATAGTCCATCATCTTGTTTTGAAAAAAATACATTGGTTTGGGGGAAATTGTGTGCTTTGGGTATTAAGAGAGAAACCACTAGTTGTCCCATAGTATCTGTTCTCCTCTCCTTTCATAGGAATAGTGACCCCAGCTTTTGCTAGTACGTGGCTGCCAGGAATAAAAACTGTAATTCCAACCTGGCAGCTAAGTGCGGCCATGTGAGTAAGTTCTGGCCAATGAGATCTAAGTGGGAAAGTCATGTGACAACTTTTAGCGGTGCACCCTCCTTAAAAGACGTCTGTGCCTATCCTCTGCCTCTTTTTTCTTTAGGGCCATGGGGCCCAGTCCTTGGAGGGATCCGGCTTCCCCAGGACACTGTGGGCAAGCGGCCAAGGCAGGCCTGGGTTCTGACCCCCTACTTTTTTTTTTTTTCTAAGACAGAGTTTCGCTCTGTCACCCAAGGTGGAGTGCAGTGGCACAATCTCGGCTCACTGCAAGCTCTGCCTCCTGGGTTCACGCCATTCTCCTGCCTCAGACTCCCAAGTAGCAGGGACTACGGGCACCCGCCACCACGCCCAGCTAATTTTTTGTATCTTTACTAGAGACGGGGTTTCACCGTGTTAGCCGGGATGGTCTCGATCTCCTGACCTCGTGATCTGCCCGCCTCAGCCTCCCAAAGTGCTGGGATTACAGGCGTGAGCCACCGTGCCCGGCCTGGCCACCATTTTTATAACAGAAAGAAAGAAACTTTCATGTGCTTTAAGCTACTGCTATTTTGATTTTTTCTCTTTCTTGCTGCTTAGCCTAATCCTAGTTGGTTTTCCTTTTTTGTTGTTTTTTTCCCTAATTGTGATGACCCTCTCCCTTCTCTCCCTGTATGAGAACTTCTGAGGTTTGGATGCAGGGTGTGAGCTGGAATCTGAATGCTGCTCAGGTCTTGGCCGTGAAGCTGGGGAACAGGAGGAGGGAGGTCTTGGCCAGTGACTCTACTGCTGGTTCTCATCCAAAGCATTTGGGAAACTGAAAAAGTAGACACAGGTCCCAGGTCACACCCCAGGCCTACACACTCAGAATCTCTAGAGTTGTGTCCCAGGCCCCTGAGCTGGTCATCAGGTGACTGTTGGTCGAGATGCTAGGACAACCTGCTTCTCCTCACTCTTCATTTTCTTAAATTGCTGGGAAGAACGGGTCAGCCTATTTCTTTAGCCCTATAAGAAATAGCATATGTGTGAAATGCATTCTCATTAATAGATAATGTGTTCTTTCATGAATAGAAATTAAATTTCCTCCTTCATTCATTGATATTATAGGGAATGTCATAACTGGGGAAGAAAAGCACTACACTTGGAGTTGGGATACCTGAGTTTGATTATAGGCTCTGACACTTATGAGCTGTGTGGTTCATCCATCATCCACCCATACATCTATCTGCTCATCTTTCCATCTATCATTTATCCATCCATCCATCCATCCATCCATCCGTCCATGTACCCATTCATTCATCTATCCATCTACTGTCCATTCCTCTGTCATTCATTCATCTATCATCCATCCATCTATCCATTCATTCATCCACTCATCTATCGTCCATCCATCCATCTATCCATTGGTCATCCATCCATCCACCCATTCATTCATCTATCATCCATCCATCCACTCATCTATCATCCATCCATCAATCGATCTATCCATTGATCATCCATCCATCCACTCATTCATTAATCCACCCATCATCCATCCATCATCTGTCCATCCATCCATCCATTCATCTATCATCTATCCATCCATTCATTCAACTATCATCCATCTATCCATCTGTCATCCATCTATCATCATCCATTCATCCATCTATCATCTGTCCTTCTATCATCCCTTCATTCATCCATCCATCCATTTGTCCATCCATCCTCCATCATCCATCCATCTGTCCATTAATCCATCCACTCACTCATCCATCCATCTACTTATTCATGAATTCATTCATCTACTGTGTTTCAGACACTCTGATTTTTCTTTGCAGCATGCCCTGCCTACCTCATAAGGTTGTTGTGAGTGTCTAACGGTAACTAAGAATCCTTTGTGAGGCTAAGATTTGTGAGGTTGAAACTAGACTCCCTGGATTCAGAAACTAGACTCCCTGGATTCACAACTTGGCTCTGACACTTAACAACTTTGTGGCTTTGTGCATGCTGCATGTGAATTGTGCCTTATGTTCCTCATCTGTGAAAAAGGAATAATAATTCCTACTTCACAAAGAGCCTGGCCCATAGAAGTTATTGATTAAGTGCCACTTTTCACTTGTAACCAGTAGAGCACTACACTGGCATAACCAAGGCAGGAAGTACTGAATGTAATAGGGATGTAATTACTCAGGCTCAAGAACAAGGACTGTAGATATTCATGTTGTTCAACATTCTTTCTCATTGTGTTAGTAGCTTTTGCTTGATCTATGATGATCATACAAATACACAGCAGAATCATTTAGACACATGGAATCTCCCAGTTGGTGGGGACTTCACTGCATTTTAATAGTGTATATTAACAGAAACACTATTGGAGACTGCAGAGGTGAGAGGAGGCTGGCAGACAGGTTCCTCAGGACCTCACCGCTATCCACGGCCTCTGAGCTCCCATGCTCTGTCCCTGCCATCACCATCACCTCCACTTCAGGGAAGAAATGAGAAGAACTCAGAGATTTTAGGGAATGTGCCTAAGCTCCCACAGTTGGTGCCCGCACGAGCTGGGCCTGCGAGTGCAGATCCAGGCTATTCATAACCTGCTGTCCTCTCCCTGTCCCCTGGGGACTGGGCTGGCTTCATTTTGAGGCTTCCCTCCACCCCAGCCCTCACATCACACTCACGATGTCCTGGCACCACCATAACAAAGTCCCTCAGCCTGGGTGGCTTAAACAACAGAAATCTGTTCTCTCCCAGTTCTGGAGGCCAGACGTCCAAAATCAAGGTGCTGGCAAAGCCCCAGTCCCTCAGAACATTGTAAGGCCGAGTCCTCCCTTGGCCCTACCTCATTTCTGCTGGATGCGCCCAATCTTTGGTGCACCTTGGCTTGCAGCTACCTCCCTCCAGTCTCTGCCCCCGTGTGCACATGGCCTTCTTTTTATAAAGACGCCAGTCACGTTGGACTAGGGGCCTTTCTACCTCAGTGTGGCTTTATCTTAACTACTTGAATCTGCAGCAATTCCATTTCCAAATAAGGCCATGCCCCACAGTACTAGGGGTTAGGATTTCAACATGTATGTTTTTTGTTTTGTCTTTTTTTTTTTTCCTTTGAGACAGAGTCTCGCTCTGTCATCAGGCTGGAGTGCAGTGGCGTGATCTTGGCTCACTGCAACCTCTGCCTCCCGGGTTCAAGCGATTCTCCTGCCTCAGCCTCCAGACTAGCTGGGGCTACAGGTGTGGGCCACCACGCCAAGCTAATTTTTGTATTTTCAGTAGAGATGGGGTTTCATCATGTTGGCCAGGATGGTCTCAATCTCTTGACCTCATGATCCACCTGCCTCGGCCTCCCAAAGTGTCAACATATCTGTTTTTGCAGGGGGTGAGGGGTTCACAATTCAACACACAGACAACCCTGTGTATTGACAATTTAAGAAAGAATCCCTTTGGGCATCTTCCCCGAATGTCTGCTACCAACAAATAGTATATCAGCATCATAATTTTTGCATATTCAGTGTTTGGAAACCTTCCATGGCCTTTCCTAGCTGGCCTAGTTATTTCATATTCGTGAGCATGTCCCTGTGCTAAATGGCCAAGAAAGCTCGAGGATAGTATCCAGGGAGTGCTCAGTGTCCCAGCAGGAAGGGCCTGGGGCAATTACTGAGGCCACTCAGTAGTGAGGAGACTGAGGACCCCAGGCAGTGGCTGAGCTGGGACTCAAACCCCTGGAAGGGCCCTGTTTCCTCTGCACCCAGGTTCTTTTTTAATTTTTAAAATTAATTATTTATTTTTGAGAGAGAGTCTCGCTCTGTTGCCCAGGCTGGAGTGCAGTGGTGCGATCTCGGCTCACTGCAGCCTCTGCCTCCCGGGTTCAAGCAATCCTCCTGCCTCAGCCTCCTGAGTAGCTGGGACTACAGGCATGCGCCACCACACCTGACTAATTTTTTTGTTTGTTTGTATTTTTTTTTAATAGAGATGGGGGTTTTACCATGTTGGCCAGGATGGTCTCAATCTCCTGACTTTGTGATCCGCCCACCTCAGCCTCCCAAAGTTCTGGGATTATAGGCGTGAGCCACCGTGCCTGGCAATTTTTTATTTTCCTTTCAGTTCTGGGATACGTGTGCAGAACGTGCAGGTCGTTACATAGGTGTACATGTGCCACGGTGGTTTGCTGCACCCATCAAACCATCATCTAGGTTTTAAGCCCCACATGCCATCTTCCCTTTCCCTCACTGGGCTATATCGCCCTTTACGAAAGCAGCCATTGCCGAGTCTCCGCCATCATTTCCATCTCCCTGCATCATGGACTGGCGTGTGGTCCAGCGGCTATGACGCGTACGCAACTCACACCACATGCCCGGAGCCTCCCTGAACAGCGAGATGCCCTGTTTGGCCGGATGCCTTGCCAATGACTGTGGGAAATTACCATCCACAGTTCTCAGGGCTTGCTCTCCACTTCTAGCTCATCTGGCCATGGGCAGTAACCATTCCTGGACTTTGGTGTCAGTCCGTGGGCAGCACTGGCCTGCGGACCTCCTGTGGCCAGCCCTTAGCTAGTGGTTCAGTTCGGAGCATGCAGCTGCAGGTCCCAGAAACCTAGCTGGAGAGGCGGAGAATGAACAGGGATGGGTCTTTCCCGGGGCTGACGGTCTGGGGCCATTCCGGGCTGCAAGTGGCCAGGAGAAGCGGGTCTCCTTGGTCTTTCTCTACAGTATCCTCAGGGTGGCACCCCCCACTCCTTGTACTGGCAAGGTGGCCCGTCTCTGGAGGCACAGGAGGAAGGTCCACTATAGAGCCCCTGGGGGCTGGATTTAGTGGCCATGATGATTTAGGAGTTGTCTGGAGAAGTGGTGGGCCGGGATCTGGGGGCCTCAGTTGCTTGGGGAGGTTGGAGTCACTTTGGCTGGAGCGGGGGAGGTGTTCCCTGTCCCTCTCTCTGGAAGGGGAGTGGTGCGGTTCTAGCTGGCTTATGTTCAGCACCCCAGGGATCCCCCAGTGCCATTGTTGGACAGCTTTGCTGATGGTGACACCCCCATGCTGTACAGCAGTGTCCACTCTGGGCAGACTGCCCGGAAATCAATACAGGGAATAAAAATGGGATCTCAAATGCTCCTGGTTGCACAGAAAGGCTCTTTCCAAAGCAGACCTTCCTGATACGTGGGGATGGACACCCCGAGACGGAGGGGACCTCATGGTACAGGATGTAGCTGTGACCTGGCTATAGATGCCCTTGACAACAAGTGACACCCACACACGGTGGGCAGAGGGTCACGTCTGCCCCTGGGCTGACGGGGGCCGGCCAGAGAGCCAGCAGGCAGCTGGCATCTTTCTCAGGCAGCACAGTTTTTAAAAAATTAAACTGAGATGACATTCACATAACCTCAAGCTAACTGTGTTAAAGTAAACCGCTCAGTGATGTTTAGTGCATTGACAGGGTTGTATCACCACCAACTCCTTGTAGTTTCTAAACATTTTCCTCACCCTAAACGCAACTTCATACTCACGAGTCCCTCCCCATCCGCCTTCTGCCCGTCCCCGAAAGTCACTCATTTGCTTTCTGTCTGGTTCTGGGTAGTTCCTATGAACAGGATCATGTTATAGGTGCCTCTGGGGCCTGATTTCTTTCACTCAGCGTGACGTCTTCAAGGTTCATTTACGTTGCCGCGGGTCAGCGCTTTATTCCTTTCACGGCTGCGTCACGTTCCATTGCACGGTCGGCCACAGTGTGTTGATTCATGCACCAGCTGGCGGGCACCTGGGTTGTTGCCACCCTGCGGCTGGTGCTGTGAGCATGGGTGTGCAAGTAGCTGTTTGAATCCCTGTTTTCATGTCTTTTAGGGTCCACATTCCCTCCCTCCCTGCCTGCCTCCCTCCCTCCCTCTCTCCCTCCCTCCCTCCCTCCCTCCCTCCCTCCCTCCCTCCCTCCCTCCCTCCCTCCCTCCCTCCCTCCCTCCCTCCCTTCCTTCCTTCCTTCCTTCCTTCCTTCCTTCCTTCCTTCCTTCCTTCTTTTTCTTTCTTTTCTTTTTCTTTCTTTCTTTCTTTTTTTTTTTGGAGTGGAGTTTCGCTCTGTCGCCAGGCTGGAGTGCAGTGGCGTGATCTCGGCTCACTATAACCTCTGCCTCCCAGGTTCAAGCTATTCTTCAGCCTCAGCCTCCCGAGTAGCTGGGATTACAGGCTTGCGCCACCACGCCTAGCTGATTTTTGTATTTTTAGTAGAGACGGGTTTCACCATGTTGGCCAGGATAATTCTCAATCTCTTGACCTTGTGATCCGCTCACGTGGGCCTCCCAAAGTGCTGAGATTACAGGCATCAGCCACCATGCCCAGCCACACTCTCTATCTTTTAGTACTCCTCTGTGTCTGGGGACGCTCACTCCTCTGTGCTGTGGAGCCTGTCGTGGGCCCAGCCTGTGTCTCCCATGCAGGGGAATCTGACTGGGCTCGCCGCTTTCCACCGGAGGAGACCTGCCGTCGCAGTCCCACCCCACCGTGTGGCCTTTTCTTCTTTTCTTTCTTTTTTTTTTTTAGATGGAGTTTCGCTCTGTCGCCAGGCTGGAGTGCAGTGGCGTGATCTCGGCTCACTATAACCTCTGCCTCCCAGGTTCAAGCTATTCTTCAGCCTCAGCCTCCCGAGTAGCTGGGATTACAGGCTTGCGCCACCACGCCTAGCTGATTTTTGTATTTTTAGTAGAGACGGGTTTCACCATGTTGGCCAGGATGGTCTCAATCTCTTGACCTTGTGATCCGCTCACGTGGGCCTCCCAAAGTGCTGAGATTACAGGCATCAGCCACCATGCCCAGCCACACTCTCTATCTTTTAATTGCTCCTCTGTGTCTGGGGACGGCTCACTCCTCTGTGCTGTGGAGCCTGTGTGGGCCCAGCCTGTGTCTCCATGCAGGGAATCTGACTGGGCTCGCCGCTTTCCACCCGGAGGACCTGCTAGTCCCACGCAGTCCCACCCTCGTGGCCCAGGCCTCCCCAGGCTGCGCTGTCCTTACTGCAATGCTGTCCTGGGCTTGGACACCTGCCTCGCCTTTGGTAACCCACAGGCACACGGGTGCACACGTGGGCCTTGCACTCCCTGTGCTTCAGCTCCATCAGCCCCAGATCTGGGTAGAGGGCTTGCTCCATCGCCTTCCTCCTGTTTGGGCAGATCTCTCACCTGTGCCTGCCTCCTCCCCCAGGTGAGCCTCCACGTGCAGAAGCAGGCCTGGATGCCGGTTATGTGGTCCTCCTTGTGGTGGCCATCTTTGCGCTGGTGGCGGGGGCAGCCACCCTTCTGATCGTGCACTACTGGAGAATGAATGGGAGATACAACTTTAAAATCCAGTCCGACAATTTCAGCTACCAGGGGTCCTACGAATAGGAGGCGCAGGCTGACAAGAAGGTGGGTGCGGAGTGGGGGCGTCTGATATGCGTGTCCTGCCTTGGCCACCCACGGTGATGGGGATGGCAGAGCGGGATTCGGCCTAAGGGTGGATTTGTGTATGTGTCTGGGTTTTGTGGCCCTTTACGGGGCGTGCAGCCTCCCTTCTGAGAAAGCAACCACGAGCAGGCACAGAGGGGAAACTACAGGCAGACTGGTGAAGGTTCAGTCGCTTCACACACCCACTGGACTGGCTCCGTGATACCAGCGGCAGTGCTATGTGGGTGACTGTAGGACCCGGGGCCTACCACAAATCCCGTCTCTGCCACTCACTCTCTGGGCCGCCTAAGCAAGGTCCTAAGCCTCTCGGTGCCTCGGTTTCATCATTTGTAAAAGAAATCATGGTAACAGTCCCGGCCGTATAGAGGGTGTGACATTCAAATGGGAAGATGCCCAAGAGGCCCCGCTATGGGGTCTGACGCCCTCGATCACTGATGGATCCTAATGATCGTCCTCAGCCGAGTGTCCCTGAAACCTGGCACTCGCAGGGATTGTCACGTGTGGTGTGGATGCCACAGTGGATCCCCCACACCTTGCTTCTCAGGCCCACACCCCCAACTTATGTATGTCCTTTTGAGGCTGAAGATGCTTCTCTGATCTGCCCCTGTGGACTTTTGTTTCTCCTGGGCTTGCACATAGTTCACCACAAATGAATGACAAGCATTATGGAGGGCAGTGTCATTGGTATAAACCTTCAGTGGGAAATGCCAAGACTGTGACTTCCGTAAAGATTTTCAGATTTTTTTATTTTTTGAGATGGAGTTTTGCTCTTGTTGCCCAGATTGGAGTGCAATGGCGTGATCTCAGCTCACCGCAACCTCCGCCTCCCGGGTTAAAGCGATTCTCCTGCCTCAGCCTCCCGAGTAGCTGGAATTATAGGCATGCACCACCACGCCAGGCTAATTGTGTATTTTTAGTAGAGACAGGGTTTCTCCATGTTGGCCAGGCTGGTCTTAAATTCCCGACCTCAGGCTATCCACCCGCCTCAGCCTCCCAAAGTGCTGGGATTATAGGCGTGAGCCACCGTGCCAGGCCAAATTTTGAGATTTTTCTAAAAAAAGAACATGGCTATAATCCTAGCACTTTGGGAGGCCAAGGCAAGAGGATCGCTTAAGCCTAGGAGTTTGAGACCAGCCTGGGTAAGACAGAAAGACTCCATCTCTACAAAAAATGCAAAAATAAGCTGGGTGTGGTGGCACATGCCTGTGGTCCCAGTTACTCAGAGGCTGAGCTAGGAGGATCACTTGAGCTCAAGAGGTGGAGGTTGCAGTGAGCTGAGACTGCCCCACTGCACTCCAAAGGGAGACCCTGCCTCAAAAATAAATAAATAATAATAAAAGAAGAAAAGAAGCACTCAAAAGGCTTATCTGGCAGCGTGTGAGACTGCTGACTACAGATGCTGTATGGCAAGCATGGCGGCATCGGCTTCCTGGGAGGCCTCAGGAAACTTACAATCATGGTGGAAGGCCAGGGGGAAGCAGGCACCTCTCCCATGGCTGGAGCAGGAGGAAGGAGTCAGGGCAGGTGCTACAGACGTTTAATCAACCAGATCTTATGAGAACTCTATCATGAGACAGCACCAAGGGGATGGTGCTAAACCATTTATGAAGGATCCATCCGATGAACCAACCACCTCCTACCAGGCCCCACCTTCAACAGGAGGATCACATTCAACATGAAATTTGGGTGGGGACACAGATCCACACCATATCAACTGCCCACCATCTAAGCCAACAGGAGAACAAGGAAAGACGAGAGGCCAATTTTCCCTTGAATGTTTTAATTTCAAGGAGGGGGACATTCAGCATGACCTTGACACCAACCCACCAGATTTCCTTAGAAAGCTAGCAGGACAAGTGTTGGCCTCGTTACTGGGATTCGCATCTTAAATATTAAGTAAAAGGCACTGACATTTCCTCGTAACTCTATCTAGGGAGGTGACTGGCCTCTAGCACTGGCCTCATCTATGCTGTAAGGGTTCTGAGACCCCAGAATAATGCGCACGTTAGTTACCGGGAGTCCTGGCAGGAGAGAGGAGTAAGACAAAGCTAACACAAGCATCCCCCTCGCATGGGCAGAATCACATCCACAAGCAGGTGGCGTTTTCTCTGAGGAAGTTGCCCAGCAAGGGCAGCACGGAGGTTGCCTTTTGGAAATGTGTGCTGTAGTCTGGGCTTTGCTGTGTGACCTGGGAGGATTTGCTTGAGTTCTCTGGGCCCCATTTCCTCATTTTAAGATTGGAGCCAGTGTCTACTACACTTTGCTGAGTTGTTTCAAAAATCTGGGGGGGACGCTTGTGTTAGCTTTGTCTTACTCCTCTCTCCTGCCAGGACTCCCGATAACTAACGTGCGCATTATTCTGGGGTCTCAGAACCCTTACAGCATAGATGAGGCCAGTGCTAGAGGCCAGTCACCTCCCTAGATAGAGTTACGAGGAAATGTCAGTGCCTTTTACTTAATATTTAAGATGTGAATCCCAGTAACGAGGCCAACACTTGTCCTGCTAGCTTTCTAAGGAAATCTGGTGGGCTGGTGCCAAGGTCATGCTGAATGTCCCCCTCCTCGAAATTAAAACATCCAAGGGAAAATGGGCCTCTCGTCTTTCTTTGTTCTCCTGGAGCTCCTGTCTTTTGCAGTGAGAACTGTCTCACTAGTTCTAAAGTTCCTGCAGACATCTGCTCTTTGAAAACCATCAGCCAAACCGCCCACCCCCACCAGGCTGACCCTTGGGCAGCCCCACTCAGAGATGTTCCCAGTGTCCTGGTGGGTTCTCCACGGATGGTGCAAAGGTGCAGGGGCCCCAGGTGTGCTCGTCCGGTTCAGGTATCTGCACCAGTCACCCCCACCAGTCGGCGTGGTGGGAGCGTCACTCACCCGAGAACAGGCACAGCCCCATGGCCGCTGTTCCACTGGGCACCCTGGGAGTGGCTGCCTTTTCATTTGGGGCTTGATCTGTCCCTCTCCCGTAAACATAGATGCCACGTCCTCGGTTGGTGGTTCCTCCACTACCCATCCTCCTGGGGTTTTCGGTATTAACTTTACCTTTCCTGCATGCAAGCTGACCCAGGGGACCTCTTTCTCCACACAGGTTGCGGTGAGTCAGCCCGCCTCCAGAACCTTGGAGCTTCCCTGGCGGGCTCCCCCGGCATCTCTAGTGTCTCTCTGCACCTCCACCCATCCCTCGGTTCTTAGCTCTTCAAGCCTTAACGGGGGTCTGCTCTGACGGATGTGCTCTGCCAGCGCCTGGGTGAATCCAGAGGGGATGACAGCAGCCACCACCTGCCCCCAAGAGGCAGGCCATCCTGTAGGTCTTAGAGGAGCCACAGCCCACAGGCAGATGAAGGGGCTACGGGAGATGGGGGCAGTGCTGGGGGTGCTCTGGCTCCACCACCACCCATGCAACCCCCACAGCCCGGACCTCCCAGACCTGTGACCCTCCACACCAGCCCACCGAACCCTTCCGGGCTTGCTCTCGCTTGGCGTCCATCACCCCTTTGGCAAATATAGAATATTTCACATTCTCAGAGAGACCCGAGAGTGCTCCTGACGCTCCTTTGAAAATAGGTCAGTCTTAGAAATAAACTGCCAACGTTATTTTTAGTGGATGCTTAGTCTCTTTGACTTTTCTCCTGCGTACCAAGGTATTGCTTTTATTTACACAACAGTGGCTCAAAAGGCACTCTATTAATGTGACAACCTTTTTAATAAGTAGAAATAACATATGCACACATCACTCTTCACATTTTTCTAAGCATTTTCACAGCCGTTTTTGATATATAATCCGACCACAGTGGGAGGTGTGGTTTACCCGTTACACAATGAGAAACCAGAGGAGCTGATGAGTTACTTAATTGAGGTCACAGAATGAATTATCAAGAAAATGGTTCTAAAATCTAAGTATTTTAGTCTAGACTCTTCTCCATTATATCATCCTAAGAGATAATGTTCTGTACTATATTTGAAATAAATCGGAGTTGTATTAGATAGCTCACACCTGAAAGAAGAGTGTTTTTCCTCAATGAACTAAGAAGTATAACATGGCCTTAGTTTTCAATCCACGATACTAATTTTGTTGAATATAATTGTCATTCGTACAGAACATTTGGGGAAAGGAGTATTTTGATTTACTGGATATTCTCAGAGTCAGTAAAGAATGACAGTGGGTAATACGTGTGGATCACAGATTCCGATCAAGTAGAATCAATCACACAAGACACTGAAATGTGGCTGCTTGTGCTGCATGCTCCATTTGGGATGGTCCATCACAGGCTCACTGAGCATCCACCGAGGGCCAGTGCTGTGCTGGGCACTCTGGGGAGGCCAGGAACCCATCTCTGGTTCTTCCCAAGTCACGTCCACCAGTCGGCGTGGTGGGAGTGTTGCCCGCCCGAGAGTAGGCACAGCCCCACGGCCGCCATTCCACTGGGCACTCTGGGAGTGGCTGCCTTTTCATGTGGGGCTTGATCTGTCCCTCTCCAGTAAACATAGACACCACGTCCACGGGTTGGTGGTTCCTCCACTACCCAGCCTCCTGGGTTTTTCATATAACCTGTTATAAGCTATTCTGAAGTCAGCTGAGGAGCTTTCACTTGCCTTCTTGGAAGAGCATGACATACTCAGTAAAACCAGCTGCTGAGCCCCATGACTGTGTGGCTGTTTGGATTTCAAATAGAGTCATTGACATATATTTAAAAACCCTGTCTTTCAAACTTTATCTACAGTTTTCATGTAATTATTTTACTTTTTTTTTTTTTGAGACAAAGTCTCACTCTTGTTGCCAAGGCTGGAGGGCAATGGCATGATCTCGGTTCACTACAACCTCTGCCTGCCAGGTTCAAGCACTTCTCCTGCCTCAGCCTCCCGAGTAGTTGGGATTATAGGCTCCTGCCACCACGCCTGGCTAATTTTTGTATTTTTAGTAGAGACCGGGTTTCACCATGTTGGCCAGGCTGGTCTCGAACTCCTGACCTCAGGTGATTCTCCCGCCTCAGCCTCCCAAAGTGCTGGGGTTACAGACATGAGCCGCTGCGCCTGGCCTCATGTAATCTTAATACATATGCCATGTCTGTTTGTTTGTGTTTTCTGAAATAATGAAAACTTGGTTTACTCTCATCCTACCTCCCCCATCCAAGTCTATTCTTCGACAAACACTTCCTGAGCACTCACAGTGCCCCAGGCCCTGAGCTTAGTGCTCTGGGCAAAGTGGTGAGAGAGGCAGACCAAGCCCTGCCCTCACAGAGCACACGGCCTTGTGGGGGAGGGAGACGCTGAAATCAGGTGATAAGAGACATGTTAAGTACTGAGAGTGATGACTGCATGTGTGCTGTCAGATGCCTCTCACCTGGTTCCTTCATCCACCCAGCTAGCCATCTAACCATCTACCCATCCATTCACCCACCCATCTACCCATCTGTCCACCTCTCCACACATCTGCTCGTCTGTCCATCCATCCATCCATCCATCCACCCATCCATCCATCCACCCACCCATCCACCTGTTCATCCATCCATCCACCTGTTCATCCAACCATCCATTCATCTATTCAACCATCCATCCATTCAACCATTCATTGATCCATTCATCCAACCACTCACCCATGCATCTACCCACTCATTCACTTCTCCATCCATCCACCTCCATCCACCCACCCACTCATCCATCCACCCAACCATCTGACCGACCATCCACTCAAACATCCATCCATCCACCCATCCAAACAAGGAATGTGTATTGAGTCCCAGTTTATATACTGACATGAGGAAGACAAGAAGAATGAGACAGAGTTTTTGCCCTCAAGTATTCACAATCCAGCTGAGGAAAAACCCCTGTGGATACTATAACACATGCAGGAAATCCAGGGAGGCCTCTGAAGGAAGGAAGAGAGAGAAACGGAAAAATGCAAGTCAATATATATGGACTTGTGCACCTGTTCCCATTACTTCATTGGAAGGGCTCTGGGGTGCTGCCGTGTCAGGACTGCTATTTGAGAATATCCTCAGCATGCATATTGCTTGTAGTTTAAACCCTCCAATCCCAGACTGTTCCCACTGGCATGGCTTAAGGGATTAAATCCAAAGTGTATGGAAACAGAAGGAGGAAGGGAGAGCCCCAGGGTGGCCCTTAGATGTCTGTAGAAGTTGTTCACTGCTCTCCAGTGCAGATGTCACCCCAGGGTTGTGCAGTGCACAACCTGTGAGGCCAGACTTCAGGGCTTTGGAGACTCCCCAGAAGATCTCCTAACAGACTGAGTGGGCAACTCAAGTCCTCCTGTCTGTGGAAGCGGGGAGACTGACATAGACATATTCTATACACGCTTCATTATAAGCCCTCCACAAATGATTGTTTTCACTTCGCAGTTGAGGAAATGGAGACAGTTTGCAACATTTCTGAAGCCAAACAGCGGGCCAGTGAAGGAGCTGCAATTTAAACCAAGCCCATTGGGTGTAAAGTTCATGCCACCCTCTGCTTTCTGTGGGGGATGGGAAGGAGGGCCTTTGCAGATTTTAGAACACAGAGTACCTCTGAGTTGTGGAAAGAGGGATTAGGGGTTCCCCAAGGGCTTTTGGTTCCTGGGGTTTGGGTCTCTGGAGGTTCTCATGTTCAGACACTATTGGGACCTCAATCTTCCTGGCCCAGGATCCCAAGTTGTGAATCACTGGAAAGTGGAAGATGTGATGGAAGTGCAGGATCTGATGGAAGAGAATCTGATGGAGGAGAGGCTGATGGAGGTGAAGGCTCTGATGGAGGAGGGTCTGATGTCGGGGGAGGGTCTGATGGAGATTTACTGGGGCTTTCCATGAGCCCTCTGGCCCAGGTTGCGTCTCTCCATGCTGGCCACTAGATGGCGACATTAGCCAGAGTCCACGCTGGAAACCGAGGGTCCCCTGCGTTTCCGCTGCAACCACAGTCCTGGGTTCTCTTGTTTGTTCTCTTTCACTGGATTTGAGCCTCTTGTGTGTCTGAAATTGTTCTGCAGACCTGCAGGGTCCGGGACCGGCACATGTGTGCAAAGGTGGTGCCCTGGAGGCCCTGCAAATAGCTCAGAAAGTGAGGCTGGTCTTCTTCAGAGCACTGAGTGATGGCCAAGTGCAGGATAAATGAGTCTATGTGGGGGTCGCAGCACGGACGTCCAGTCTCGCATCTGGATTTCCCAAGAGTGGGAGATGTCTTTTCCCTCCCTTCCCGTTTCTGGGAGGAAAGGGGCAGACAGATAGGTGACTAAGACAGGTGGCAGAGAGCCAGCAGCCCCAGGAGCTGGTGCTGGGGAGGCCCAGGTGAGATACCTGTGGCTCGGGAGAGGACCTGTGCATGTGGAAGGGATGCCTGCAATGCCCAGTGACACCTCTGTCTATTGTGGAGGGTGACAGAGTCCGCTCAGTTAGCCACATATGCACCTAAACCAGAAGTGAGTATCCAGAACAACCGTGCATGCCATAAGCCATCAGATAAGAGGGGCTGGACAGGGACTCCCCAAGCCTGTCCTCGGCTGTGATGGGGTGGTTAGCAACCCTCTTTAGTTTGAGCACCTGCTTTGTCCCAGAGAGGGAGTGTTAAATATCTGCTGTTCACCCCCTGCACCCCGTCTCTGTCACTCCTGGGGAGGAAGACTGTAGATCCTCACTTGTGACACCCAGAACACCAAAGTGGTTCTGTTACTAGACAAAAGGTCTTGACTGTGTGTCATCCAGGCTCTTTGTGCTGAACAAAAAATTGAACAAAACACACAAAGCAAAAAAGAAGGAAGCAACAAAAGACAAAGCAACAAAAGAACAGTAACGAAAGTGCAGGTACATTGAAGCTAAAATACACTCCACAGAGTGGGAGCAGGTGGCTCAGGAGCCCCCATTACAATGTTCTTTAAGGTTTTTATAAAGCTCAAAGAATCTGGTAACACCCCTAGGTGCCCTTTGGAAGCCTCCAATTAGACCCTATGAAGGATTGGCCTGTGACCAATCAGAAGCTGAAGTGGAAACTTCTGTCTTGTTATTACAGGAGCGAGGATGTGGCCTGTGTGCTGCCTAATCTTGCCTAGAACTGGCTGCACCTGCTGTTCTTTCGCTTCTGCCTTAGCCCTTGGTCACCCTAATCCCTATTCTCCTGCCTCAATTCTGATGGAAAGAAAGTGACAGACGACCTGGAGGTTCCTAACCCAGGGAATAGCTAGAGTTTGCATCCCACAAGCTAGTATGAGATTGTGGGAGGCTAAGGGCATGGGCTTTGCGGTTGTGAGAGTTTGGAGGTTGAATCTCAGCCGTTCTATGTGGGGCATGTTACCCAGTCTCTCTGAGTCCTTGTTTCCTCACATTTACCCCACCTGTGAAGCGAAGGTGTTGCTAGCATTGGTTAGGGAACTTTGGGCAAGAAGTAATGGAAATGTCAGCTCCAACAGGCTTTAAGGATAAAGCCAATTTATGACCCCTTGCAAGTGAGAAGTCCAGGCCAGGGTGGACCTCAGGTGTGGCTTGCTCCTGCAGCTCTCAATGGCTCAGATTTTGTCTGCCTTTTGCTCTACGTTCCATGGTGT